TGGCTGCTCCTCGTGTCTTACAGGGGCAGAGAGATCCCAACCCTCATTAGGCAGCCCTGGAGGTTTGCCCTGAGTGTGGATCTGAGCTGTGGCTTCCTCCCAGCTGCTCCTGGAGCCGAAGCCTGCAAAGGGCCTGGTAGGAAGCAGCTGTTTAAAACTCTTTAAAAGCTTTCAAACAAACCTGCCCCAGAGAGCTCGTCCCCAGTTTGCAGCCAGTGCCTGTGCTGGTCCCTCCTCTCTCTGCTGAAGGACTTTGCTCACAGCCTTTCATCTGCAACAGGGTACCAGAGACTTGCTTGTCCAAGTCTCTCTTCAGACAAATTGCTCCAGGGAAGAGACCACGAACAGTTAAACAAGATAATCATTAGTGGAAGCATCTGTCTCATCATTCTGGAAAAGTATTTAAAACAAAAGTCTTGAGGGAGATTTGTCTGTGTTCTCCCAACTGTCTTCACTTCTGAGCTGCACCAGTAGGTACACATTAAATTTATCTGTGTTCTGTGGATTAATGCAGCAGAATAACTGTGACTTTGAACCTCCCCACAAGCTTGAAGATGTATGTGAGAAGAGAGTCTGACTTATATCTCAGTAAAGATAGGTAAAAAAAGAGCCCAAAATTGAGATCAGAAGTGAAAACACAATTGCAGCTAATCTGTATTCATTCTGTTCTGAGCAGGAATCCCAAAACTTTGACATTTTTTGTCAAAGAAATGCTGGTACAGCAAAAAAAAAAAAAAGTGTAATTAATTGAAATTCCTTGCCTCAGTTATCATTTATTTATTTGATATTGAAACAATCACTAAAGAGCTCTACAAGGTTGATGTTAGAGAGCTGCCTGACTGTATTCCTAAATCTGAGTCAAGTCACAATAATTTCTAATCAATAATGCCACAGTGTTATAGCAGGACTGTAATAAAGGCTCAGTCAAGAATTTGGCCGATAGCTTTTCACTGCAGTAAATTCTTTAAAGCTATCTAGCTACCTAAAGACACCTTTGAAAATGTAGCCCTTTCATTTTGGCATTCTTCCAAAAACTCAGGCACATAGATTCCTCTTGGAGATGCCTCTGTCAGAAGGTCAGTAAATTCAGTTTACTTTATAATAAAGAACATTTAGACAAGCTTTGTATTATTTTTTAGTTATGGAATGACAGTTTAGGGGAGACTTTCTTTAAAAGTTTTCCAGGGAAGGATAGGACTTGTGGTTAGCATTGTCAATATAATTCTAATACACTTCAGAAATGCATATGTTAATTTTATAACTTCATTTTACATTAGTTTTATGCAGCTGTTGTGAAACCTCAACAGCATCAACATAACAGATGTTTTTAGGTACCCCCTTTTCAAAGTTGAATTTGGATTCATAAAAGTAAAAAGGAGCTTTCATAATGTTGATGTTAATGGATTATTTTAATTAGAAATTCAGCAGGATTGGTTTACTTTAAAATACACCAAATCAGTTACAATAAAGATTTCCACCAGCTCTTTGTTCTTCACACCACAGAAGGAGGATCTATTTTGGATCCTTCCTTCAGTGCCATTATGTCTTCATAATTAAATCTCTCACTGGACAAATACTTGTGCTTATTTTACTGCATCATTAAAATTCTCACCCTCCTTAGTCAGCATGCTTCAGTGTTTGGCTTTTGGTTTGTTTGGTTGGGGTTTTTTGTTTGTTTGTTTGTTTTAAATTTTTGTTTCTGTTTCTTCTTCTGTGAGTTTTGTTGCTCTGTTGTCATCCCTCTTCCCTTTGGTAAATTTTTATTTTCCAGGGGCTCATGTTGTGTTCAGAGCGTTCACTTTCCTCATATTTTGTGTTGCAGCTGCAGGGAATAACCTTGAGGGACAGGCCTCTGAGATTTCTTTCCTTTCCTCATGTTAATGTTAAGTTCTTCTGGGAAAGGAATGGCTGGTGTTGGTTTTACTTCTGGTTTCCTCCTGAGTGCAGGTGACCCACGGTAAGAGAGCACTGAGCTGTTCCTGCAGCAGGCAGGGATGAGACTGAACAAACTGATCCTCTGCCCTTCACTGTGGTTTGCACTATCCCACTCTTTATTGAATTAAATGTGTTAATAACAGACTTATGTAGCAGCTAAGAAGGAGTTGGCTGTCATTTATCAATTAATTACCCATGAAAACTGGCATTACATGGTAGCAGTAATGGTACCCATGGTGTCAGGCATATGCTACATAAAAATGCAGTCACCTTGAAATAATGTGGACAAATCAGCTGGTAACCTACAGAATACTATTAATAATGTAGTCCTAAGCCTTGCAGGACTGAAATTTGTCTCTTAGTGGTCTGTGGATAGATTCTGCAATGTTTTATTTTTTGTTCAAGTTTTGGGTGATCAAATTGGTTGAGCTACCTTTAAATCCAAAGCCAGGGATTTCTCTCTTACCAGATCTTACATGAATTAATTAACTTTAATATTTCTTTGGGTAGGGCAGGGGGTGTGATGGCTTGTGGCAGACAAGTGGTGAAAAACCAAGTTTTAAGCAAAGTTAAAGATTCATTGGTAGAACTTGTATTGACTTCAATACTGATTTCTACAGCAGTAGAATGAAGGGCCTGATGTGACACCATTCTCATTGCAATTCTCTTTTAAAACCAGGCTAATACAAGGTCAGCTGCAGACATTTTATTGCTGGAGGAGAAAAGGGTCTGCACAGCTGCCAGGCTACAAGTGGTATGATGGGCTTTGAGTCGTTCGTGTTGCATTGGACACTGGTACTGCACAAGCTTAGAGAGAGAACAGCACAAACCAGGAGCACATTCCTGGCTGGTAACACTCACCTGGGTTTGCTCCTGGCTCTGGAATGAGAGAGAAAGCTTGGAAAGAAAGCAGCTGTGGTAGACAAGTGTAGAAACCCCGAGGCTGTATAAAATGGTGCTGTGCCTGGCTCTGCTCGTACAGTCCTGTGTAATGAAAGGATTCTTGAGCTCCACACACACTGCTCCAATGTCATTTCATCTTCTCACAGTTCTGTAAGACCCCAGCTGTTGGCTCTTTTTGGCAAAGCCATGGACTGAACGAACTTTTCCTGTTATGCAGACTGGAGCAGGTGCTGAGGCTGTACAGACCTTGTTGGAGTGTCAGACAGTGAATGCAAAGGATGGCACATCATTGTGTTGAGGTTGTCAACATCTATTGTCCTTTCTGCTCCTGCAGAGAAAGATGTGGTCACTTGCCAGAAAGTTTACAGTCCACACTTCTGGATGAGGTAGAACACCAGAGTAGCAAATAAGAGCACAAAGAGTCTGAAGTAGTATCAGCAGAATGGTGACCTAATACCTGTTCAAATCAAAAGCCATGTGCTCATTGACTGCAATTGTCTTTGGAGTCTAGAAAGATGATGGAGGAAAAGAACCTGATGACATTTCAGGTTTTATGTATCAACTTATATTTCAGTAGACTTTGAGCAGGAAATACAGGGATTTACTTGGGAAGGAAGTTGTCTTTTGTTTCTGTGCAGTTGTTCATCACGTGTCAGACATGCATAGGTAAAAGGTTTTCATTATCCCCTCTACACACCCCTCCAGTAAAAAACCCCATGAAACAGTAGAAGCTACAATATATTTGTAGTTCAAAATGTTCCTTTCTCTGGCTTTAACCTATGGCTTAAAAAGTGAAAAACAATATGCACCACATTGAAAAAAATATGCACAGGCATTCATTTCAGAGTCAGAGCCATTTGGATGCAACTATAAATGCACCAGTTGTGCCAACAACTGAACAACACTTTTATTCTAGCTTTATTGTTGGAGCATTTTACACTTCAAGTATATTATATGCTTCTGATCATACACTGTGCACCATGTACTCTTTGTAATTATATCAGTATGACTAGTTGCTAAGGTTGAAATAGGTAACTGCCACTAGAAATCTGGAAAAGTGAATTAATTAATACACTTCGTTGTGTAAGAGAGCACTGTCAAGGTTCCCATTTTGTGTCAAGATATGCTAAAATGATACCTTTGGAAAAAAAAGATATTCATATTCTTTCAGCTACATTGACAGAGATTCCCTTCAGTTTTATTCTAAATTCATGTATGTGTCTCATGTCAAATCTGGGCTGTAAATGCTGCTACCTCTGTGCAATAGAACAGAGGTTAGCAGCCTCTGGAAGCACATCAGCATGAGGAGAAGTGAGGTCAGAGCAGAGGTAAAGATTGTGCTGTCTGGAATGTGAAATCAGACACTGTTCCCCTTCTTGGAACAAGCTGTAGCAGATCAGTTCTCAGAAGGGAGGTATGTTACATAAAATTCGGGGCACTGGGTAAAAGAAACCTCTCTTGTGAGACTCATTCCCAAACCAAGTACTCTGGTGGTCATTCTGTGTCAGGGCCCAGGAGGGGGCACTGGCAATGTGCTCTGGGTACCCGGTGTTGCTGGAATTGGCTCATTCTCCCCGGAGATGAGGCTTCTGTTGTTAAATCCTTCCCAGCTCATTCAAAGCAGGGACATCAACCCCGAGATGTCAGGAGGGTGACTGCCTTAATTTTCCTGTTGCATCTCCATCTCTGTAAAAGCTTTCAGATGGACTGGAGCAAGTGAAGCACTGCTTTTTGCTCCAGATACTGCTTCAAGAATACAGGTTTTAAGTCTCTGCTGACTGTGAACATGGTTTATCTGTTTTTCAGACAGCTGGACGAAAGCACAAGCTCCTCTAAAGACAAATGGTGTGTCAGTGGCCAATTGCAGGAAAGATAAAGGATTCCAAAGGCTGTGAATATTGCAGTCAACTATCCAGGGCTTATTTAATATCCTTTTATTCCAGCTTCTTTCATCACTTTAGTCTTTGCTAGTCAGAATATAGGTTGTTTGGTTGAATACATTCACAGAAGTATGATACAATAACTTCTGCCTTATTCCAGTAGAGAGTGGATTACCTGGATGTCTTGCTTGCCCTTCTATTCTTCTTCTGTTTCTATAAAACAAGACTGCCATCAGTCTTTTCCATTTCCTATTTTGATCATCATCTTCTTGTCTCCTTTAGGCTGCTGTGAACAGGAACTGAAGATAAAGTGTGTGTTTATAGGTAGCATTTTAAAACAGCTGCAATTTCCCTGCTGGACCAACCCTCTGATTAGACAAGTGGAAAAGCTATGAAGTATACTCTGTAATAAATGTCAGAGCAAAGAAGAGCAAAGAACTGAAAAACACCCTATTAGAGGCTAGCAAGAGCCAGGAAATAAAAGAAGAACCTGTGTCAAAAAGCAAAAAAAAATTCAAGAGCAGAACAGAAGTTCAAGTGTGACAAAGAAAAGGATCACAGCCCTTTTGGTGAGTAAATACTTTCAGACAGGTATTGATCTAGTGGGCGAAAAGCAGCGAGTGCTCTGTTGTGAGGCAGCACTTACTGGGGGGCTGCATCCGGACAAGGTTACACGTGGGGAAGAGAAACAAAGCATTTCTCCATGGTTGGAACTAAGTTTGAAAAACTGGGGTATTTTTTTGCCTTTATTTTTAATTTCCGGTACCTGAGTCTAAGAATCAGCAAACTGAAATACAGAAAGGCTCTCCTGATGATTCAGAAGAGAAATCACAGGCTCACTGAAGTCAGCAAAAACTTTTGCCATTGATTTAGCTGGGGCCAGGGCTTCACTGGGGGCTTTGCTGTTATGAACAGCAATCTGCTGCTGATGGCAGAACAAAAGATGGCAACAGAGAAATATGTTGCAAAAGTTCCTGTCCTCTGCTCTCTTCACTTTTCTTCTGGTTGAAAATGTTATTTATTGTGGCCCAGTGCTGGGCTTGGAGCACAGGGTACCTGTTATTTTCTACCAACTGGATGGGTTGACATGGATTTCTTTGCTCTTAGGGTCGTTTGGCTAATGGAATAAATTGAATTATGCATAAACATAAATGGGTGAGTTGTCTTGTTTCCTACGAGGAAACAACACACTCAATCTTGTCATTCCCCACCCCCCAACTGTTCAATTATTCCTTACCTGTTGAGAGAAAATTGATTAAGTAGTGAGCATTAAATTTAGCAGTGATGCTACAAGGAGGAGTGCATGGATGTGGAACAGCACTGGCTCTGTGATAAGGTAATAAAACAGAGGGGGTGAGCAACAGAGAGGAATGGCAGGAAATAGGTGGTACCAGCCAGCAAAGCTCACTCTGCTCCTGTTAACTGGTGCAGGACTGGAATAATCTCACAGACCTCAATCAAAATATGCTAATTTTGTCTTGGCATAAATTGAGGCAAAAACTTATTTGGGCATATCCTGCATGCTCTGCCACTCCCTGTTCTAGCAGAACTCCTGCTTGTGTACTGACTCATAACTACAATGGGATGATTGTGACAATCTTTCAGTATTTCAGAAAAATACTGAAATACTGAAACAAACCCTCTGAATTCACAGAGGGTTGTATCAGGAGGCCACAGTGTTTTTCCATAGTTCACCAAAGGTAACCAGGTGTCTTCCTGATCTCTCAAATGTAGGAGTTAGTGAATTAAATTTCATTCCCAGTACTGGTTTTTTTCAACTGGATGCTTTCAGTAAGTCAGAATCATAGAATGGTTTGGGTTGGAAAGGACTTAAAAGGCCATCTAGTTCCACCTCCCCTGCCATGGGCAGGGAACCAGAGCAGGCTATGCAGAAGTCCTGGTGCCTCCTGCACCCAGGGCTCCCAGACTGCAGAGTCACAGCTGTTGAGCCTTCATTTGTCTGGAGTTACCACTTTTCCTCACCAGGAATATAACCTCTTGTACTTCACTGCGTGGCACACAGCAGACAGTGCTGAACTGCCCTGTCCCTTGGAGACACTTTAGGTTATTCTCTTGTCCTATTTGTGAGGGCAACTGAAGACTGAATATTTGATATGCAGGAACCCTTTCCTTTGCCTGTTTTAAGCACTGTCACCATTCATTCAGCAGAATGCAGCTTTTCTATAGGCAAGTGGTGCTGTGTGCCTGAAGAGACGTAGATTTGGGAGGCTAAATGCAACTTTGTCCCATTCATGGGGTACATCAGTCAGTGCAAAAAAAAAGGTCCTTTAAATGGCAGCCTCTGCTAAAGGATACCTTCACAGCCCTGTTCCTAACTGGTGCTGCTGACTCTTACACAAGGGGTGCAGACCATTTCAAGAGCAGTCTGTCTGTGTCTGTGCAGTGAACAGAGACCTTGAAAGCTGTTCTGTTCCTGATACTTTTAATCAGATACAATTTTCTATATCACATGATGAAAAAGGAGTTAGTTTTTATTGGAAGGAAAAGTTTATCTAAATAATAGGTTGGCAAACTTTTGGGAGCTCACTGCTTGCAGCTAGTTGCTAGAAGACTCCTTTCAAATTACTGAAACTTCTGAATCAGTGTGTCAAGAAACAAACCAAACAAGGCTAGTGTTATTTGGACGATTTTCCAGATCCTAATTCCTCTGCTCTAAAGAAATATATTTGATGCTTCCTTTTCCTGACAAATGCAAATCAAATATTAACTGATTACATTTCAACGTAATCATCATATTTTAGGGAAGGGTTGAGGAGTGGGCAGAAAGAAGAGAAGTTGTTTGTTTTTACCGGGGCAACCAAGTGCTTTTCTGTGTGTATGTTTAATGAGTGAATCAGACTGCTTTAGCACACAATTGCTTAGATCAATAATTATTCAAGAAACAATACTGCCTTGGGAAAATCTATGGTAATAAGAAAGAAATCTTGATGGGCTGGATAACCTTTTCAGGCAGGTATTTATCTTCAAATGAAGCTATTTTTTGCACAGTTTCTAGTGTTTTGAAAAACGCGTTATTGGATGGTTAAAAGATTGTTAGTGTTTGGAGTGTGGAGCTCAGGGTGGCAGGGAAATAAAGCATTAGTGGATGGTATTCACAGATGCATAGCCAGCAAGACTGTCAGGTTTTAATGTCAAAGTGCCACTATGAGATGAATCTCTGCCTCTGTACTCTAGTGACAACTGTTACCATTACCACTGTGAACAGATAGCAGGTTCTAATTAAAGTTACAAGCCAGGGGGAAGAAGCATTAAGAAAGAAAAGAATAATTCCATGAGTAAATTGCACTTGATTTACTAGTTCACAGAAAAGGTCTAAAAATTAGTATTTGAAATTAGTTTAAATACAGAATCTATCAAACCACGGAACAATAATCAAGTTGACCTAATTGGAACACTTATAACTATAAGCAGCCTGTAACATGTTCTTATCTTGACATGGGGAGACCAAGTAATCTCCTAAGTGCTAGTTAACTGCATCAAACTTTTGCTGAGACCTAGAAGAAACCCCCTGCAGCAGCTCTCTGCTTTCTTTAGATGTTAGACTATTCAGAATTTAGCTTCTTGAACTTTCTGCATCTGCATTGAGAGCAACTTCTGTGTGCCCACCGTGAACTGGATGATGAAAGGTCCTCAGCAAAGTACACAGCACTTTGGGGGAGCAGTTCTGTCCTTAACTGTGGGTTGGCCTTTATGTATGGCTGTCATTTTTATTTATACTTTTGCTTGATTTTAGCATTCATTCAGGACTGTGATCTTTTAAATATGAGATGAACATTGTCTCTGCAGATATTTTTAAAACTTCTAAGACTGGACATAGAGCAGATCCCTGAAGTGCTGCTGAGGAGTGAGTACAGCACTTGTGCATTAACAGCTCCTCTGGACAGGCAGTGCTGCCTTGCTGGCACTAATCAACCTTATTCTCAGGGAAGGGTGTGTTCATGGCTTTAGGAAACCTATGCTAAGGCAAGTCTCTCATCAACTTTCTGTTTGGTAGTTTTGACTGTTTATTTTCCATGATTTTGGTAGAGTTTTGGTCCTTTGAGGAGATTGTTTTGGTTAAATTGGGTTTTGAAAGTGTGCTTTGAAAATTTCAAGACATGCTAGAAATGATACATTCCTGGACTGCTTTCTGTAAGCATATTGTGATCTGGCAATGACAGGCCATAAACATGAAGCAACAAGTTTGAAGAGTTAGAAATGCTTCTCTGAAATATTTTTGTCAAATTACCCAGACAGATTGACACCACTGAGATTTTTCTGTCTTGCCTTGAAGGGGCAGCAGCTGGTAGTGCTGGAATGGAGAGCAATGAGAAAGGGCAAAAATAATCCTGCACCTCATTTGATTTATAGTGTCCTTTTATTTTCTTCTCTATCTGTCTGTACTCTTCTTCCACCCCAGCTTTTGAAAAAAGTCCAGGCTCTTCCAGCAACCACTACTGTGCTCAGAAACCTTTACTATTTTGTATAAACTTGCATTTGTTTGGGCTTTTTCATGGAGAAAACCCTGTCATGGGTCATTTGAGCTATGGTTGACTCTCTCCTCAGGAAGGGTTCTAGCAGTAGCCTCACAGGGCACTGAACATGGCACAGTGTGGCCCTTCTGCAGCTTCACACAGCCTCCTGTGCAGGATGGACATCAAACCCCTGGAGCTCTGGAATGTGTACAGGCAGGAGTCAGGACCCCTCAGAGCATTCAGCTGCCACGTGATTAAAAACCAAAGAGCTGAGAGAAATTTTACAGCCTGTTTTCCATAGCAAAGGGATACACATGGGGTCACAGAGGTCTGCAGAGATTGTCAAATGCAGGTCCTGCTGCAGGGCTCCAGCTGGAGGGGGGGCAGATCCGTGGGTGCTGTGGAGCTCCAGTGCTGGTGTTTACACTGCAAAGTTCCCTGGACTCGGGGGCTTCTCCCTTATCTCCAGACCAGCTGTGGTCATTGCCAGGGCTGGAGCTTCGGCAGGGGAGGGAAGGAGCTCCTTTGGAACCTGATTTCTGGCCTGTGGCATTCAGAGGCTGCACTGGTGAGCACAGCAAAGCAGTGACCCTGCTCAGGGTGCCTGGCTTGCCTTGGCTCACTGTGCTGTGACAACACAACTGTGAACACAGACACCAAACGGGGGATGGGAAAAGGTCTTCAGAGACAAAAATATACCTGTCTGCAAGGTTAGAATCAATTCTGTCCCTGAGATAATGCCTGTTGTACCTGGGATTTCAGTGCCTAAATTCCACCAAAGTTTCACTTTGAACAGTGAAGTGCTTTTTGGGTCTGACATCCAGCAGATCCCCATTTAAGCACAAAGTGCAGAGAAAACATTGCCAAAAGAGATGTAACTGCTTAGGGCAAGGAAATTGTGCCTCTCTAACATACTAAAATTAAGTCAATCGTGCAGCTGTTGAGACTAGAGGGAATGGTTGATGTAATTTATTTGGATTTAAAAATTAAAAAGTCCTTATAAAAATATCCCTACCAAGAAGCCATTAAAGCAAACGAGTTTTAAAGAAGTGAGAGCTAAAGTAGTTGTGCCTTAGAAACTAAGAGGTAGAGCAGGATTAAATGTTCAATTTTTTGAGCATGGCAAAAGGCTAATGGTATAGAGCCCCAACACTCCACCCAACTGGTGCAATCTGAAAATGGGATGAACATGCTGTCAGAGGGGTGGCACTGTTTGCTGTTCACAGAGAATGACTTCAGTTAATCAGAACTAGGGAAGATTGTGATTGACCTGGGTTAACAAAGTGAATAAATGGGCAGTGTGATGCAGATGAAATGCAGTGCTGACAAATGCAAGGTTGGGCACACATTCAAGGGAATAATTGGAAGTATTTGTAGGCTTTGCAGGGCTCTAAATTAACCATAACTATTTAGGTCATTATTTACTATGATCAGCCTAGTGGGATAGCGTGTTGTGAAGGGATCCTGTGAAAACAAAACATGATGTGAGACCATGGGGGCCAGGAGGAGCCCAGAATAGAAAATACAACTCCCATCCATAAATCAACATCAGCAATTCACCTATAATTCTGTTCTTGCCCTATCTCTTAAACCATATGATGAAAAGTAATTCTGGAGCCTGGCAACTAAATGATTGGAGAGATGGAGGAGGCTGAAAACAAGGCTTTGCTTAGAAAGAAGTTAAGTAATAGGAAACAAAAGGGAAGTATTTTAAACAATGAGTAGTGTGAAAAATACAAGCTAAGAAGCTTCTATTTATATTGCTAATGCAAAAGAAAAAAAAGGCAGCAAAGAGGTGTATTTAAAGAGAGTTAAAATGAATTATTTTAATGAAAACCTCATTAACCTTTGGGAATTATTCTCTTAAGCAATCATGGAGGCCAAATGTTCAAAAGCATTATGTTATTTTAAAACAATTCTTATGCTACAAGAGGACTGGAACAGTTATTCCAGATAGCTGTTCACTGCTATCTGCAGAGATCCTGCTGCTCCATTAGAAAAGCCCATAACCTGCTGCCTTCTATTTGGGAATCAGAGCTTTTAATATGCACTGATGTTTTTGGGCTCAGTGATGGTTTTTTGCTGTCTAAACTTCGAAGTGTTTGGCAGTGCAGAGTCTCCATTGTGCCAGGGCTCCTACTCCAACATACAAAAGGAGGTGTGCACCCAAGGAAGAAATGGTCCAGGTCACAAACTTTGCTGCAGAAGGATTTTCTTTACGGAACTCCCTATTCTGAATGTGCTTTCTGCATCTGGGATCCCAGAAGGATGACTGAGGCAGCTGGTGCATTATATGGGATGGCCCTTTGAAATCTCCTTGCTGCTGAGCTGAGGGTTTTGTGCTTTCCAGCAGCATTTGAAGCACTCAGGCTGCCCCGGGCTGGGATCCCTTCCCATGCCAGGGACTCTGATGGGGAGCGGCTGAGACTGATGATGACATAATACCCTGAGATATTAATGCTCTTAGGCATGAATTAATGAAATACCATTGGGAATTTATCCTGCATGAATAAAGGGATTTGGAAGTTGTTGTTCTAAAAACCACAGGAAGATTTTCCTGGAACAGCCCCAAACACTGTGCTGTAACAGTCATGGTTCTAATGACCCCTTGCTCCAGACTTTTGGCAGAGCCAGATGATTGAGCTGGAGTCATTAACTGAGTTCCTACTAATTTATGAAACGTTTGTATAAGTGAGACACATGGATATCTTGTTTCCAGGGCCGTGACAGTGGTAATTTTTATATCCAACTCAGTGCAAAGCTGGATTCCAAGCTGTGGTGTCATTGTGGAGCAGAGACTCAGCATGCCAGTGGCATCCATCGGTCTGGGGTCCTCACCTGGCAGTGCAGTCACACAGCAAGAGCCCTGCTTGCTGAAATGGTAGCAATGCTCTTCATCAGTGTGGAGGGTGATTGTCACCATCTATTAAAAAAAATATTAAGGTAAGCTTTGCTGTGACCTCCCTGGTGTGTCTTTGCAGGGTTACTGAGGTGGAACTGAAGAATTACTGCTGTATCCCATCATTTTCCATTCCTCATTGTCCCCTAGAGTTAGTGAGTAAAATGTTGTACAGATACATATAATCATCTTCCTGTAGCTTCTCTTGATTTAAAAAGTAATTTTATTCAGGGATTAAAAGTTTACACTACGATATGTTGCCATATAATCAAGTCTAGAATAGAGAAGTTCTGTTAGTTTTGAGGCAAAATGGGATAACAACCGTTGCTCTCTTAATGTCTCTTCTGTGTAGTTAAAAAAAATTTCCTTAAAAATTAGGACATGAAATATGACACATATTTTATCCATAACTTATGGCAATTTGAAACACCCTTTATTGCCTACATAAGTGAATATATGTAAACTTTATTAATTTCATTTCAAATTTAAAAGAAGCAAAGGTGTATTGTAGAATTCACAGATAAAGGTTAATTTAAACTATAAAGTTATTACCAGTGTTGCATTTCTTCATGTTATGGTTCACTTATGTAGAATTGAGATGTATTTTATATTAAACAATGCATAGCACCATTATACAACAGTTCACTAAATGCACATCCCATTCAATCTTTTGTAGGAATTAATATAATTGGACTGAAGTTACAAGGAAGAATTGAACTAAGCCAGTAGGGTTAACACTGATAGTAACAGGAGATAACTAGCCATAAGAAAATTACAGCTCTTCTGAAAGACAGTGCCTAAAATAGCAGCATATCTTTGGCACCATCATAGGAACTGGTTAACTGATGACCCTGAAGAAACACTTGTTTCCATTAATTCTGCTGTCATTATTTCACTATTCTTGAACTCTTCCTCTGAATTCTTCTGTCCTTCTGATCCCAAGATGGCAGGAATGTGAGAAGAGAACATAAAGAAATTACAATAAGCTGTCAGCTATATAATTATACTGTAACCTACTACACTGAGAAGTTACACCAACAGAAATTTGGCAATGTATTGGCTGCTAGCTAAACACAGGACTCTCACTAGCTCAACATTAAAAAAAAAACCAGGCTCACTAAAAAGCAACATCTGCATTACAAAGAAGCTAACAAAAGAATTCCCTTATGATACTTAGGTTCAGCTGCTTCATCTTAGGTTCATCAGCTACATTTTCTTGTTTTGTGAGTACTTATTACATTTGCAATTTAATATATATTTAAGATCACAACACTACAAACCTTCCTCCAGCCTGTAGTTTTGCCACCTTTAGTTAGACACAAAGGAGTGCTTGCTTGAACTAGGGTTGAAGATTCTGAAGAAAGTTGGTGAAGTTATTAGGTCATGTGTACTGTAATTACTTGAGCACCACAATTTTTAAACCCTTAAGAACATGATTTCCTAGGTAGAAGGCAGCAAGTATGTTTTCAAGTTGTCAGACAGACTAAGGGAATAATTTTTGCTCCGAGGAGTCTGCTGTACACCCTGAATCAGAACAAAGTCCTGTTTCATAGAGACTTTGGATTTTTAAAGCATCTCTACTAAACAGAAGCAAACCAGTACTGATTGAATTTTAAATGTTCAGTGACTTTACTGCAAACACAGTAACTTTTAAGTGTTAAGGAACTTACTGGCAAGAGTTACCAGTAAGGCTGGTGGTGAAGATGCCTTTTTCAAGAACAATCACTACAGTGTCACAGTCCTGAGTACAGATATATTGAGATTACCTGAACCCCACGGTTCCATCTCAACCTGGACTTTATTTTTTTTACAGAGTTTGAACTTTCTCAACAGCAGGAAGTCTTGCCGAAAACATTCTTCTGAAATTGATACTTCAAAATGCATTGACTTATTTTCCAAATGGACTTTATATACTCCAATGCATTAGAAGGTAACAATACAGCTTTCAAGTGAATTTTTTGCTGTTATCACACATGGAGTCACAGTGGGCACACATGTGGCCTCTGTGATGGTGGGGTGTTAATTTGAGAGTTATCTGGAAGAACCCAACTTTGGAAGTGGTGACAAATGGAAGTTCTTGGTGTTATCTCTGACAGGCCCTCAGTGAGAGGGACAAAAGAGGCTTGGGAATCAACACAACAAAGACTTCAGACTTCCAATTTTGCCACTGATTTGTAGATAACATCTTGGGCATCAGCTGCCTTCTGCAGTTCGCCAGTCTGGTAGAACAGGGACAGTCATCCTGATTTATCCGACGCCAACCAGCGCCGTGACGGATGAATTATTTAGGTTATTTAGATTATTCAGACAGCACTCACACTGCTGGCCAAATGCTGCTTATTCATGTTTTCCCCACTGCAACAATATATCTTCATCACTAATAATTAACTGCTAATTACTGTTGCCGAGACTATGATAGTGGCATTTACCACCTTATTTTTAATTTCAGTGCAGATGCCTACTTAAAAGTTATGTAAATACATGAAATTACAGTACATTTTCCTAATGACCCTGCTATGTCTGAGTTTGATCCTATTCAATTGTGACTAAGGAACAGTAAAGATCTCCCTTCTGTAGAGCCATACACAGTTTCTGTTGTATTCTTGCCACTTAAATCATGAAATGTAAAGAAGTCATTCTAGGCAGGATACATCTGGGTTGAAGGTCTGCTGATGCCAATTATGCTTCGTACATAATAATGCACATTTTACCTATTTGGAAAAAAATTCACATTTATTTACTGTCAAACAGGTGTTAAACTTTACACTGGATATTAGTGATGGGCTCATTATCAACAGGTTTACACAAAGGGATGAAAAAAGCAGAATTTTGTTGAAACAATTTACATTTCATTAGATTTTTTTTATCATAAAATAAATTAATTACTAAATATAGGCAGAAGGAATATGGAAGAGTAATAGTTATGTTTTATTTATTTTTTTAAAGGACAGGCACCTTTTATTCACGAGAAAGCTTGTGAGGAGTGTCCAGTGTCCCCCTTACCCCTTACCACCCAACCCTGATTAAAGACTGAACAGGGAACTGAGTTACAATCTTTGTTAGCTATACCAAATTTGTGCAAGGCTTGGCATAATTGGCTTCTAAAACAATTTTCTCCCAAAATTATGGTTTTTTTGGCAATAAAAATTCAAAAACTTAAGAATAAAAACTAACTTGTCAAAGCAGAACACTGTTTGCAGTGAAAAATAAGTGAAAATGGGTAGAAGTTGCATTTTAAACATACTACCGTACTATGAACAGTGTAAGAAAAACAGCTTATAACGTATGTGCAACCAAGAGCTTTTCACAATATTTTCTTCAAACTCTTTAAAATTATTTTTTAATGACAATTATATTTCAGTTGGACACAAATGTATTTATTTTACCCTAGCAATAGAACAAAATATAATTTCTTTAGCCATTTTTTCATGAGAACGGTTCATTGTACAGTTGAGGAAATATATGAAATAAGGCCTGTGGCTTGATTGCTAGTGGTTAGACATGTATTCAATCTTTGCCCTAATGGAAAAGATTTGCAGTGAACTGCAAACTGATGCAGAATATCTCTCCTGCTTTTGCAAGTCTTGTCAGGAATAGTAAGGTACAGTAAATTTGTCCCACAGGATTTTAAAGCCTACGCCTTGTATATAATACAATGTAGGCCTAGGAAAAAAAACATGGTGCAGCCATATTTACAAATTTAGTTCACAAACTGCTGCAGTAAAATGGCTGGAAAGTGTTTATTTCTCTCTTTTTTTTTTTTTTTTTCACAATTTTGTTAAATTCAGCAGCAGAAGATATCTTAAATACCTTGTTGGTATTTCTTTTCTTTGTAACAAATAATTCATTTTAGTATACTCTGTGTATATACAAAGTTTTTGTTTTATAAAAATTCACAGAACTGCGAGGTCCAGTCATCTCCGTTACTGGAGAACCACAGGGTCAACAGAATTGTCTCTTCAAGCAGATATGAGGGAGCCTGCACGGGGCAAATTAAGTCTTTTTAATACTTGAACGTGGCCTTTAATATTTCTTTGCTACACTATTAAAGGCTTGTCACTAGTTGCATTTGTCCTTCTCTAACGTCTCCTTCTGGAATACATCCTTCCTTGTTAATGGGAATTATGTAGCCGTCGCTGTTACCCCTGCTGATCTGATAGTACATCTGAAGCTGGTGGCCAGCTCCTAGGTTTGGCATGCTCTTGTAGTAAATGTCCTCGTTTTCACTCCTCCTGGAGGGAGAGAGGTCCTCCTCGACGTCGGGGCTGCTCTCTGGGTACGGAGAGTCTCTGAGGTTGGGCATGCTCGTGTAAAGGGAGTCTCTGTTGGGGGACTGGAGGTGGTCGTCGGCCTCGGCGGTCAGCTGGGACACGTAGCTGTCCGTGCCCTCGGGCTTCACTTTCTTCTGGGGCTGGTACAGAAGGGAGTGAGTCCGCTGCGGGATGAGCGGGGCCTCGAGCTCTTTGTGGTGCAGCTCCAGCCCCGGGGTGTCGCTGTGCATCAGAGACGAGGCGTCGGCCACGATGGCGTCGTCCTCGCTGCTGCTCCCGCCCATCGCCGCCTTGGCCGGCAGCGCCCGCTCCAGGTTGTGGTTCTTGCTGCTGCCCCGCAGGTTGTTGTGCACTAACTCTGAAATGATCATTTTCTCAAAAGCAGTATCATTCAGGCTTAGTCCACAGTCTACGACTTGCACGCTGTCGTTATAGTCTCCGTTGCGCAACGAGTAGCTGTTGTTGAAATTACCATTTAGCGGTAGAGTATCCATGGCACTTGTATCCCTGGCATTGTTCAGTGAATGTCCTGAAAGGGAAAAGGACACCTCTGGTTATTGCCTGACACGCTTTGATCACTTGTGTTTGTTTTTTTCTTTTTGCTCTTTTTAACACAATTCTTTAATGTAGTTCAGGACAAAGTTGTACTTGGAAGTAAAACTTGAGAAAGGTTAGGTTATTGAACATTCCCAAATGTAAACAAGTTGCACACCTTATAGGAAAGATGCATTCTAAAAATAGCAATGTGTATTTCCTGTGGGGAATAGTGGCATTTGAATTTCTTAATTTAGTGTCAATTCTGTGACTTTTCCACCAGGAACTGTTCACTCCATGCCCTTGCATATGTAATGCAAAGCAATTCGTTTGGAAACATCTATGTTTTGAAGTACACCACCATGATTTAGAAAAAGAAAATTAACAGAATTTGTCCTAAACGACACTAAATTAAAAAGGAATTAGATCACAGACATAACTGAAGGTAAATGTACAACATAAACCCACATAACTGGCAAGCAACTACTTTAACAACGTTTCTAACATTTTTTCCTGTTGGTTTTTTTTTTTTTTGAGATGAAGTAAAGAAAAGAATGAAAAAAATGGATAAATACAAAGAATTTATGTTAAACAAGGACAGCCATCTTTCACACTACAGGGACCAGGGCCCACAAGCACCATCCAACAACACGATAGACAGCAGGTGGAATGACTCACTTTGGACAACTCACATCATGTCTGTCTGCTCAGGCTATCTGGCCTAAGAGTAGCTGATATATAAAAGAAAGTAAAATGATTTATTGTAACATGATGAAGAATTACTGAGCTTCTCAGCAACTTAGTCAGAGCAAGGGTTCAGCAAATTAGATTACTAAGCAATAACAGCTTTTCTTTCCCCACTTAATGTAATTTTTTTGCACTAATATTCTGTCTGCCAACAATGGCCCCAGGCCCCTAAAGGTCAGAGTTTGCCTGCAGTCTGCATCAGTCACAGTGACAGCACTGAATGAACCAGAATAGTTAATTAAGAGTTAGGCCCACAGTTAACCATGGGCATGGAAGTCAAATGCAGAAATGTTAGGAATTTCTGTAAGTATGGGTCACAGAAATTAAACCAAAGAATAAATATTAGTTGTGGAATGGGAAGAGGAAATCAGCCATGGCTGATATCTCAGAGCTGTTGGAGGAATGACAGATTGGGTAAGTCTGCTGAAAACATGAAAAGGAGTTTAAGGGGGGGGAAATGAAGTCTTATGATGATTAAGGTCTTTATGCTTTTGGTTTTGGCTTTTTTTTTTTCCAGTAACTCGATAAAGAAAAGATTTTCCTATAGACACAAAGACATGTAAACCATGACAGCACAGTGCTTCCCAAGCAAAGGAAAAAAAAAAAGGAAAAAAAAAAAGAGAAAAAAACTTTGCAAGAAATTAAACAGTCTGAACCATGGAAGTCAGATGGTGAGAGCATTCCTAGAAAATCACTTTATCTACAGATATGTCTGGAAAATAAAGAAAGAATGAAGTGACTTTACTGAAATGAGACTGACCACTGTGAGGCTGCTGCATAATATGCAAGGCTTGGAGGAGTATCAGAGAAAAGTTTTTTTGAAAAAGATTATATGTTTTTCCCATTTTCTGGTTTTTTTTTTTGATAATTAAAGCTGCAGCTTATCCTAGAAAATTCAATCCTCTCTGGAAATATTGTTTTCAATTAAAAAGTAATTGCATTTTCTCATGAAAAGATCTTTTTCTTCAACTTTAAAAAAATGGAGTAATAATTTCCAAATAAATTTTGAGCAATTTGCACGTCATTTTGCATTTGTGTTATTGGTAAGTCTTCTCCATGTGTCCTGATTTACACAGTGATGAGGGTCGTTTGAAAGGTCTCTTTAAGCTTTGATTAAACAACTTTGTAGTTTGGCAATTTCATGTATGTTCCAGGATTTTTCTTGCAATGAATTTAGCTGCAAAGAACATATGGCATTTATAAAAGTAGACAACACATGGACCACATGCTGGATTCATTTCCCTCATGAAAGTGATTTAATTCTGTAATTTTAATTTTCTTTTTCTCTGCTAAACAGATATCAAAATAATAATCCAAAATGAGTTTTCTATGATATACTGCAGAGTTAAGCATGCTAGAATATATTCAAATTGGTTTGACGAGGCAAATTTTGTTGCCCACGATCAGGTAATTAATTTGAAATCTTTCCATAGCCTGTAGCAAGATTACTGTAGGGATATAAAGATATAAGCAAATTGTTGAGCATTTTGGCGTGACACCGCTTTGGTTTTAAACAGCAAATTATTTCAGCATCGCATAACTCGTGTTACCAATGGGGTTTGCTACAGACCTCGTGTCGCTTCCCAAAAAGCAGTATGCAAGTACTTTTTGAATGTGGAAACATTTCATTTGCAAATTGTGAACCACTTGCCCGCTGAGTCTACTTCATGACCGCTAGTTATGTTTTAATTGTGCCCATTAGAAATCATGCTGAAAAAATTTACATTTGATAGGCAAAGTTAAGTTTTACTCCCATACTTGTCTCTCTGTAGGTTGCTAGAGGAAAGCATAAGGAAAGTAAGAAAACAAGAGAATGAAAATAGAAACTACAGTTCAGTTAAAAAGGAAACTTGAAATAAAAACTGGAAACAAGGTTTTTTATGAGCTCTTTTTCAAAGATTAATCATTCCAGTTACACTAAAGTGATGTTATGACTCATCAAACAGTATCTGCAAGATATTTACTGATGAGTTGCACCATTGTTTAAAAAAGCAAGTAGATAATGTAACAACAAAATGTTAGGTAAGTGATGATACCCTTTATTCCTACAGAACTAAACTGCTCTAACTGTTAATCCCAAGATTTTCCTACAGGAAAATGATCTACATAAAGCTGCACTATACTATAGTTTCGATCTCTTTGATGCTGGATACAGTTTTCTACACCGGGGTGTCCAAAGGTGCCAAGATGCCTTGGGCTTTGGTATTTAATCTGTTCCAGAAGCAGGATTTTCTCAACAAGCTTTAGAGTCAACCTTTTATTGCATAGACATGATACCTCTAAGTGATATATATCTTGAAGATGGGCTCTCGGACCATGTGGTGTCAGTCCTGTAATAGTATATTAAGATTTATGCCACCTGTGTTAAAGACATGGATAATTATTGGTAAATACTGTTAGGGCAAAGGCATTACTATAATATAGTGCAGTTTTACAAGCTGACATTGGCAATACTGTATTTCTCCAAGTGACAGAAATTCAGACACTAGGGCTGGGGTGTTGCAACTCGGGTTTCTGTCTGGGGAAAAGAGGGAATGTGGAGCGAGCCAAGAAAAGCGGTTTATTCAGGAAGTATAAGCACACCTGGTGAGTTAAACACAGGAGCTGAAGGGGCATTACATACAACTGTTTCAGCGAGCAATGTGTTATAGGGGTTGTTAGTGCCGTGTGGTCGAAGAAGAGGGTTTGTTAGTAGGTAATTGCCAGTCATTCCTAAAGCAAAAGAAACAGAAAAAAAAAAATGTCAGTTCTTTAATTTTAGTCTGACAGTTTCAATAAAGAATATTTTTTATTCCTCATGAATCATGTAGGACTTGTCAAATGTAATTCAGCTGAAAATTTCTGGATGTGTTTTAGCTATGTATTTGAAATGGGAGCAGGAAAACACAGTTAGATTCCAGTAATTCACAGGTGCTGCCCAAATCCCCAAAGTAAACATCTCGTGAAAGTGATATTTACTGATGTATACAAATCAGCTACACCAGAATAGCAATTAAATGGGTAGAGATCCAGGTACTACGTAAAGCTATTAGAACTTTAACACTGAGCATATGGAGCAGTTCTGTCCAGAGTGGAGAGAACTGAATTTCTCAAACTGAAAACCCTCTTATGACAGGATGAGAGCTGTTATTGACTTTATTAAAAACACACAGAGAGTGGAAGGGAGTTGCTGCTTTCAAACAGACAGTGGATGATAAACTGCAAGAAGCACATCTTAGTATATGCAAAAGTATGCATGCTGAGGGGAAAGCAAAATATTTGCTCTAAGAAATCAGAGCATTCACATTTTCTCCCGGGACATTCATGCTGCAAATTTATCTGCCAGGTTTAAAAAAAATAGATTTCCTCGAATGACAAATTTCTTTAAACAATCAGTTTACAAACAATGTAAGACAAAGCAAAATACCACATGAACAGATTTTTTTAAACCCATTTTACATGTTAATGCAACACCATTTAAACAACCCTCGGAATAATTAGAAAAAAAACAGCGTATTTTGAGACATTATTAAAAAGTCAATTAATCTCTGATTTCTAGCTACTACAGGAAAAATGGATTGGAATAATGACCAAAAAAAACCACACACAAAAAGCTGTGTTTTAAAAATTAATTTAAACTTTTCAATAAGGCAAAATTTCACTTTCTATTGCATTGCACAGGGTCAGAGTATTACAGACCCAAGGACAACTAAAGAGACAGCTATATCTTTACAGTATGGATATTTTTGGGGCAAGGAATGATAGTATATATTCCAAATATTAATGCTTTTGTACTACTTACTAGCAGAATAGATACTTAGTAGCAGAAATGAGCAGAAGTTTCTGACATTCCAAGAATTACTGTCTGACTATGCTAATCTTATTTGAAAGTTTGTATCAGTGATCAACTAAAAAGCTTTTATCACAGCTTTTTTCAGTTGTAATGCACTTCTTACTAAAAATACTAACATTTTGCTTGGGTTTTTTTTCTTCTTGGTTAAAATCATTACTTGTAATTTAGAGTTAAGAATTTTTTTCAATCCAAATTGTTTGACCACCTTTAAAAGCTTTATTTTTATTTTAAAGGAAAGATTACACTTGCCATTAATTATTAGGCTACTCTTATAAGTATGTACCACTGAGATAGTGACAGTCTGACAACTGAAAAGAGTTGATAGCAATTTTTCTAATCATGGCAGAACATCTCCAGTGACTTGAGACTGGAACTCAGAACAGGGAAAAGCTTTCAGGAGCTCAGCTCAACTCTGCATTACCTCAGGGTGTAGCATGGTTAGAGCAATCCTCAGGAGTCAGAGACATCAAACTGGGGTGAAAACCCAAACTTTTATATAATGTGTATTTGTGGGATTTTAATAAGACACTGGAGGGGAACTAACTTCTTTCTTGGACATGAAAAATACACATTTTCTACTTAATTTTTGCCAGAGGAACATGCAAGACCCATATGGGGAAGGGGAGCAGTGAGACACAGCTCTTCTCGACACGCCGAAGAGCAGAACTAGAACTGTGCTCCCTGCCACCTGTGCCTCTGCAAATACCACAGTTCTTACTTTCAAAACCAACATGAGTCAAGCACATGCCCCTGCCATTAAATCACGAACTTGAATTTTCTGTCTGAAACTCTGTGAGCTGAGCAGGAGCGGGCTGCAGTGAGACCAGGGCTCTTCACGTGGGGATGTGGGTGGAGGACAGGCTTTGAACCTGCCTGGCACAGAGCACTCTTCTCTCCTCTGCTGCTCAAACTGCCCTAAGGAAACCCAGCAGGGAGGGCAGAGAGGAAGGGACAGTCTGTCTGGGTTAATCCCCTTGTGTTCTGCCTGGACAGGAGAATGATGTTACAGATTTCAAAGTCTGTTTGAGTTGAGAAGTTTTGAGGGTTTGACTTCTCTGTGCCTGAAAATCTGGATTCTATCCCATGTTACAGATATGATGCTCTTTGAAACAGAAAAGATAAATGCTTCACAGACATCTTTTGCATAGAAATGATATCAATTAGATTTCACTGGGAAAATTTCTGCACCTAAAAATCAGTCAAATACGCATTAAAATGTTACTGCACTCATATTTCTGTTTCAGATTTAACCTATAAAGGTTAGGAAAGATTTAAAATTATGATCTTGCTTTTAAGCTAAATTATTGATGAAACTTATTTAAATACATTCCCATGAATGGAGGAATTCAGCTTCTATAGCAGGGCCAGTTGAGGGAACACTGTTTTAAAAAGTGCTGGTGGATGACTTTAAAACTCTGCTTTTAGAGAACATTTGTTCCAGATTTTTTTTTTTTTTTTGAAAACATTCTTTTCAATTCTTCTGTGCTAAGTGATATAAAATCTGTATAAAATTTAAGGATTCTAAAACCGAAATGTTCCCAGTGACTGACCTTGATTAAGTGTTGAAGTGCTGTTGATGTCACCTGAGATAAAAGACGATTCAGATTGTTTTCTCACAGTGTCATTCCACATCCTCCTTATACGACTCTGTTAACATAAAGCAGTGAGACAAAAGCACAGTAAGTTATGAAAAGATTTTTTTCCTACTCATGTGCTATTATGTAGAATATTTGTGTTTATTTTGGCCTAAAGTAACACATTCTTCTAGCACATAGTGAAAACGCCTTCTTTTTTTATTAAAACTCTAATTTATTAAACTTCATTTAGATGAAACATGGTGGTATAAACCTTCCTATAAACCCTAATTACAAGAAAAAAAAAAAAAAGGTGCTTGTATTAGACCAAAGTAAAAGGAAACGTTTAAAAAGAAATAATTCTGCTGTGCAGTATTTGCCATCTAAATGATAACGATGAGAAGACAATTAGTCCTTCTGACTGGAACACATCTCAGCGGGCTTTTAATAAATAAATGTAATGAAAAGGTGTGTCAAAGTGTTTGTCACCTGAGTGCCAGAGGAGTAGCGGGCGCTGGTTCTGGTGGTGGATGCCTTCACTGAGCTGTGGGGGCTCTCCGTGGGCAGCCCCCCACAGCAGTAGGAGTGGCGGAAGCACTTCCCATACTCCTTCCGCACCTTTGGGGGAGAAAACCAGACTGCTCAGCACAAGGATGGGTGTTAAATATCTCTGCTGGCAAAAACACAGCAACCTGGCACTGGAACTGCCTTTCAAGCAAACAGATAATTCTCGTCTGTCAAGCTGCTGGCAAAACCACAGCTCTGCCCCTACCCAGTGGCAGTATTATCAGCTTCCCAGGACTTTTGAAACTATTATTTCCAAGGTATGGACACACTTCATTTAGATGTCCTTGAATAATCATTACTGAGCTAGTTATGGAATTATATTATCTTCATACTGTAGAGTAGTACCGTTAAGTTTACCTGAACTGAATGGTGGCTGAAAATAGTCCTTTTTATATGAGCTTTTGGTGCAGAAAGCACAGGATCCCAGCCTGTATTCCCATCCCAGCAGGCAAGAAGGGCTGAGGTAACCAGCCTCTGCACTGCTCAGCACTGCCCTTTATGTTTTGCCTTGTGCTCCAGAGTGCCAAGCCTGCCATGGCTGTAAAGGCATTTTCAGACTCTGTGTAACTCCCTCAGCTCACTCCACATACCCACCCCTGCTCTGGCACCCAGCAGAGCTCCCCAGTGCCCCACTTGGGGCAGAGCAGCAGCTCTGCTGGGGAGGCACCTTCCAGTGTCCCAGAGTCACAGTCTGAGCCATAAAGGATGGGAGTGGAGCAGCTGGCACTTTAGGACCAGAACATACAACTGCCATTACTCAGTTTGTTGAGCCTGGAAATTTGAATATACCTACGTAGATGTGGTTTTTTTTTTCCTGAGAGAGCAACAAAACTAATTAATGATTCCAATATTTGGCCTGCATTCATTCACCTTCTGTTTCCAGTGACCTACTGGAAACTTTAGTTTTGTTATGTGTGTTAATGGTTGCCATAAAAGTAATCAGGATTAATTTACAGAGCAGTTAATTCTCTCATATTCAGTGACTGCTACACTGACTGCTGTTTTCAGGAGAGCACATGCACATCTTGGCAGCGTGACAGCATCAGGGAAAGGACACAGTGGATAAAATTTGTATAGATGTGTAAGTCTAAATTCATAACTCTTCCATCAGAGAGGTGGGAATTTAAGTGTCTCTTCTACATCAATGAGACTCATGAGTTTCTGTGAAAAGTGGGATTTCAGCTAATCTGAAAATTCTGCCTGACCTATGAATATATAACACAGAAAGTTATGTGTATGCAAAAAGGGGAAAGGGGAAAATGAAAAAAGTTAATTGTGTGGATTTACATATGTAATGTGCTGTTTTCAACATTACAGGAGTTTTACTCATGGAATGCATACTGTGATGTTTCTATAAAGCACAAGGTTGAAGAAAATTTGAATAATTTGTGCCTTAACTTCAAGCTAGGCACAATAACTCACCTTTTTATAAAAATATATGGTACATATTTTAAGTCAACCCCATCTATATCAGCACAAAAGACACATAAAAAACGAAAGCAGAAATGAAACAACTTAGAATTATAATTTTCAACCCTGTAGTGTAAAAAACATAGGTCTATATTTATGGTGTAACACCTAAAAAAATACATTCCTGAGCACTAATGGATACTAAATGCTCCAAACCACTACACAGTAGAGACAATAGCAATCAAAACTGTATTTTTTCCGAAATACCACCCTCCAGGGCTGGTTTTGCCTAATGCCTCTATTGCAGTGAATGTACATTATCTGTCAGGAGTGTGCATTCCACTGTCATTATTTCTAAATTATAGCTTGTTGGAAACTGATGGAAGCAACAGCACCATCATCTCGTCAGAACTGGAAACATAATAGTTTTCACTTCCACAATTCTATTTCTCTGTTCAGTTTAGTGACCAACTAGTAATAACAGAATAAAAAGACTACATTAGCTATGCAGACAGAGGGTAGGACAACATCCAGTCAAAAGGCAGCGACACTTGAAAATCTTAAATGGCAGCTTTAACATTCTTTCAGGTATAAATCTTATTGCTCTAGGTTATGCTTTTTCACACTTGACTGGTATTTTAATATTCCTTTCTGCTGACTCCACTTTATATAAAAACAATGCACAGCTGTAAAAAGAAATAAAAAAGGAATCTGTTTTTGATTTTTGAGTCCAACACAAATACAAAAAGGGAAACATTATACGAAACCCTAATCTAGAAATTATTTGCATTTTGAGAATGTTTGCATTTTCTTCCCTATCTTCTTTTCTTAGGCTCCATCTCCTCTCTAAGTGTGCTTTTGTTCTCTCAAAATGAGAGGAGTGCCATGTTCATCTGGATAAAATGCTTTCTGTCTACCAGATCTTTGCTAAAACATGTCTGAATGCCATTGTCTACACCAGCTTTAGAGATGCTGATACTCTTTAGAGCTGGTACAGTTGAGAACATGCACGAATATGGATTTTGTATTTTTTGTACTTCCACAGCAACGCTTTATCCAATGGTCTCAAACCATTTTATAAATATCTGCTAATTATGTCTCTGGTGAGCTAATTATAATGGGAGTTAACAATTGCTAGGTCTCCAGCCTAAAATTGGTAAAAATATTTAAAATCTAAATATTGCAAATAAGGTATTTCCAAATGTAGGATGTACTGCATTACATGTTACTTTTTTTGGGTGGGACTTTTAACATTTACCCTTCCTCTCAACTCTCATTACTTTCACTTGTCCTGCCTTCTAACACAGGCTGTCAGCTTTTCTCATTCCCTCTTCCTTAAAGCCTCTCTGAGGCACCCTTGGAAGCAGTCTCCATCCCCTGGGGAACAGAAGGGGTGCAGGGAACCCAAAAAGAATCCCACAGAGCTGCACCCTTCACCTGCCTTCTCTCTTGCTTGTTCCTCTCTCCCCTGCAAGCTTTCCCTCTCCAGCACATCTGCTCATTCTGGATGGACCCTTCTGCTCCCACCAGCTGAAGGGGTGCAGAACTAGTTCAGCTCATCCCTCTTGCCTAGGGGATTCCAGTTTTTCCAGTTAAGAGAACAAAGCTATTGGGATTTCTGGGGGAGGCAAACTCTTGGAAAAAAAGTAGTCATGCTGGCATCTTTTCCATCTTTAGAAAAGTATTGCTGTTAGTAGTTAATGACTACTTTTTTGTAAAGTGTGCTGAAGTTCGTAGTAAAATTAATTTTTACATCTCACTTGATTTTGTAATGAATGAGCACACCAAGTACAGACCCTGCCTATCGCCTGGAGCTTTGTGTGGCACCTTAGTGGGATCTCAGGAGAGGTCCTCTGCCTTCATCTGAGGAAAGGAGAGGTTTCCAGGCTCATACTGGAACTGGTCCTTTGGCTGCAGCCCTGCAGCAGGGGCAGGACTTGTTTCACATGGGCATAAAGACTTTTGGCTGTAAGTCCAGACTAATAGATACCACCATCTCACCAGTGTTAAACAGGACATTTTCTATAGCAATTTTCTTCACAAAGCCTCAAAACATTTCAAGCCCAGGTTGGAAATGGTGCACCCCTGTTAAACCTGCCTGGGGCACAGAGCAGCTACACGACTCCCACATACAGCAAGAACTGCTTTGGAATCCCAGTCCCCTCCCCAAATTACTTCAAAATACTACAGTTCTTGACTTTGCTATTTTTTTCTCTCTATTTTTTTAAGAATTATATGTGGCCTTCCTAAGGAATTAGGGAACACACATCTGTGGTTCTGGTAACTTACTTTCTTTTGGAGGGCACAATGAAAGATGAATATAAACATTCCTTGGAAAGCATTAAATACTGTGAAGAGATAGGTCATCACAACAGTCCCCTCGTTTATGAACAGCAGGCCAAATGACCATGTTAGGCCAAGGAGACACAGGAGAGCAAATGCACCCAGGACCCAGGATCTGTAAAAGAAAATTAATTTTAGCAACATTACTTAAGAGAATGCACATGGCCAAATCCAATATTAACATTTCAGTTCCTGCAGTTGACTTTTACTAGTTTCATATTCAAATGTAAAAATTCCTTGGGTTTAACCTTTTATCTATCAAAGAAAGAACAATTCCATTTAGTATTCTTAGTCTCCAGTGAAAACAGCAAGAGTAGATATAACCTTTTTCTTTCTCAAGAACAGCATAGGATGTCAAAACTATTTTGAAATGCAGAAGTATAGCACAAACCCCAGCTACTCCATTGCCTTATCTGCTTTTAGAAAAGAAACTGATAAATCTGGCTTAGCCACTAATCACACCATAGATTTTAAACAGTGGTGCTGCCATATGACACCAAATAATGTCACACAAATGCACAAAGGTTAAACAGCAGATTAAAAGCCTAGAGCCCAAATCTTTAATGCTCCGATAAACTCAGCTAAACCGAAGCTAGATGGTCTAACTTCCACATGAAGAACCCCTGCTGAAATGTGACAAAAACATGGATATTGCTTTACAGAATAATCTAAAAAAGATTCCATCATGAACAGGTTAAGGAAAAGGAGTTGTAGCGAACGGCACAGAATGAAAGGGAAAGGGAATTTAGTCAGTGAATTCCACATCTAACTAATGATCTTACTTGATAAATGGCTTATTATCTTCATAGCTAGAAAGCATTATAAGCAGAAAAGAGAAACAAAATTATTAGACAGAATTGAAACAGAAATTAATAAGAGCATTTTTAATTGTCTATAAAAATTAGTCAAAATTAGGAAATTCAAAATGCAGAGGCAAGCAATTTAAAATTATAAAGGCATATAATAGTTAAAAAGTCTTTAGCAAATCAGATATCTCAAAAATAGTTAATTAAAATTAAGGGAAATCCACAATATGACCGAGTTTGTAAAGTTAAAAGTCATGCCAGAAATTTGTTAATGTAGGGTTCTATCTTACCCAGGTAAGTCCGTATTATAGTAGCCATCACAAACACGGTAATTACTGGTGTGGATGAGAAGACAGAAAGAGGAAAAGGAAGAAAAGAGAGAGATGCTAAAGATTAGCTCTCTCTCTCCTCATGCAACATGCAATGAAGCTGGTACTGACCTATCCAGAACATCCTAGTTCCCAAGGGTCCCTCACTGCAAACCTCCCTTGGCCATTTGCAACAGTCAAAGCCAATCTGTAAGACCCTTTCACATCCAACCCTCAGCGTTAGACAGTTGCACCATCCCTTCAGTGTGGGTAACAAAAACCTTCAGTACAATGTAAAGCTACAGAGAATACAGTAAAAAGCTATCTAAAAAAGGGAAAGCTGCCAAAGCCTTGTTAGTTATATAAAACTTGTATTACTCTGCAAAAGGGATACTACAGTACAGCACCATGATAAAGTAAACATTTGTTAAATTAGCATGAAAACAGCAGATAATCTTCAAGTTAACAATAATAATAGAGTCAATTCTCTTGGGAGCACAGGATTACGAGTAGAAACTGCTCAGAATCCCTAAATCAAAAAGTCATTTAACAAAACAAACTTAATATAATCATATCAGCCATGCAAACAGGAACATCATTTTTGAACTGCATTTTAAATGCAAATGAAATTACTACAGTGCTGTGGCATTTCCGTGAAACAGTTTCTTGGCACTAGTTCCAGGCTGAAATTATCTAATTTTGACCGGCGTTTGTGACATTACAGCAACAATGTGACGAAAGCAGGATTGGCTCTGTTTGCTTCTAATTGACATCTGCAGTTGCTGGGAGACAATGGCATGTGCTCCTAATGGAGAGTAGCTTTCAATCAGTTCAGCAATCAGAAAATAATCATAGTTCTCATACTTGAACACAAAGCACTTACTTAATGTTTTCCAACCTGCTAGAGTCTGGTTTCAAAGTGTTTGAGTGCTTCACCATTTTGCACAATGTGATCACCAGGAAGATAAGATTCAGCTGTCAAAACAGATAAGAGTGAAATTAAACTACTTCAAGTAATAGGTTGAATAATGATGATGTTACAGGCTAAACAAAAACCCTGTAGTTTATTTTCAAATAAATACTGAAAGTTGGTAACTACATCAGATAGTCTGTAAAACGTGATTGCAAATACATACGAGGGGGGAAAGAAGCGTTAGAAGTCCTTGTTTCACTTAAGTTTCCAAATTCCAAATATCATCCTGAGCTCCTGCCCAGCACTTGCCATCCCCAGTCCAGCTCCCCCTTGCAGCATGTTGTGCTCAGCCCCTGCTCACCTTTGCCTGTCACCTCTGGCCCTTTCCCCATCTCACTGATTCCCTCTGAGGACTGTGCTTACCCCTTTCCTGTGCTATACTACTTGTCTTTTTAGCACCTCATCCTGCTTTTAAAACGTTTTTCACCTTTGCTGGTTTCTCCCCCCCCCTTTATTTTTTTATTCCCTTTTGTTCTCACAAATTCCAGAAGAGAGTTTAAATGTAACTGAGGAAAAAGAAAGAGAAGAAGAAAAACAAAGATGTAGTGAATGCATCAGTCTTAACAGTGCCACAGACACGTGCTGGTGCTGCACCCTCCTACTGCCCTCTTTCCCTTTGTAGTCTGGATTCTGTCAAAGTGACTGTGTGCCACTTGAAGGACTGTGGTGTCTTATTGTTGTGTCCACACAGATAACACCAGGGAAGATGCTGAAGGAAATTTTTTACAGTTTTCCTATTTTGAAACAGAATCCCAGATATCAAAGTTAGTAGGTGCCTTTCTCCCATCGATTTCAGAGCCTGTGAAGAGCACAGCAAGCCAAATACAAGGATGCCTGCAGAGTATGGGCTGGAAAGTGGTACCCAGTTAATCTGAGTAATTAGTTTGTTCATGGAGACCATTCAAACAAAATTGTACCTTTGAAACCAGTAAGAGCTGTGTCCTCTCAGGAAGAAGACACACATCCTTCTGTACTAGCACAATGTAGTACAATAAGTACAATAAGTAATGGCTGAACCAAAAGCTAAGACAAGATGGGAGAATATGCTTGGACATCCTTATAACACATAGACAGATTATAACCCTATTTTTATAATCTTCCATATGTATCTGCAGCTGGTTACTGACGGAGAATGATCACACCAAGTCTGGTTTGATCTTTGGTTTGAGACAGATTCAAAATCCTCACAATTTTTGCAATGTGTTCCTACGGTTGGGCCTCAGTGGTCAGAAATGTCAATCAATAAAGAGCTGGTCTGGAAAATCTTGGAAAAGGAGTATTTTGCAGGCTCTGATCAGTCTGTTAATAAGAATATGTATTACAGAAACAATTCCTACTGTTAAGGGCAATCAAGTTATCACTCCTGCTGCTGTCTCAAAATCAGGATGGACAGCATGAACTATTAGGCAGTTCTCAACACCAGAACAGAGTCTGGCAGCTTTTGACCTTATCAGTCCTCATTGAAAGTAAAATATTTTTACAATTGTGTCTTGAGATTAATAGAAAAAATGTATCTGATACAAATAACAAAAATAAGCTTTGATGATTGATTTCAGTTTGTGTTCCAAGAATAGACTGAAAATGCTTGACCTTTAAGCAGATGTATGTACATGGTGTAGGTTGAGCATATTTCCATTGCTGTAAAATCTAATAAAAGTGTCAATAATTCATGATCTTGATCTCCCTTTATGATTCTTATAGGTAATGTCTACCCAGATGAGAAACACCACTTCATTATATCCTTGTGATCTCTCCCTCTTATCTAGGTTTCCACTGTGTGGTGTAAGTTCCTTGGCTTAGCACATAAGTTGCTTCTCTCCCTGGTCTTTGCACAGGACAGGGGCTCTGTGCCTGACCCTTTGCAGGCAGACTTTATTCTCCTGGATTTGAAAAAGTTTCTCGTACATCTGGTAGCTGACATAACATGAACTTCTCCAGCCTGCTTAAAAGAATGCAACTTCAATTTGCTTTTTGTGAAAACAAACAGATTAAGAGCTAAGACACATGCCCCATCCCAATCCTAACATGTAAATCAACTCTGGCTGTGACCTGTGCATCCCTGAGTGCACAATCCAGTTCAGAACAGTATTTACAGCACAGCTGGAAGCTAATCCTTGCCTAAGGAGCTCCCCTGGAGTATCCTGTATTGTACCAGCAACATCATTCTTGGATCAAAAACTCATAGATATGGCTTAGCCCATAAATGACTGCCTTATGAAACGAGAGGGTTTGATCCTCTGATTCTCTCTACAGCTGAAGTGCTGGTTTAACATATGAAAAACAAAAGTTTGTATTCACATGCTGAGGTTCCTTCAGTGCAGACATGGCCTCACCCCAGAGCCTGAGCCAAGCTCCAGTGCACTGAACAGGTCTGTCAGCTCTGTCTGTGTGTCCTTGCTGCACCAGGGAATAACTGTACACAGCAGCTTCTTAAGAGACACTTTAATTCTATTTTGGGTACAGACCCACGAAACCAGCCCACAGAAATAATAATGCTGTATCACAGTAGCTGAACAAGTCCTTCCAAGTAAAAAGGAAAAATCCTGTACTTTAAACACAAAGTAACTATGACAACAGAGCATATGATACTTGTTTCTCCATCACTGGGAAATGTTGCATAGTTTTCAGTTTCAGCAGCCAAAAGACCATGGTCTGCCACTTGTTCAAACATGCTGGCATCTCTGGTACACATTATATCATTATAAAATCCCTATTTTGCCTGCTTACAGATACTGTAACAAAACCTTTCTATAGATTTGCTTTTTGGCTCCCTTTACTGCTTTTCATCTAGGAACTGATTGTTTTGGAGGAACTCATGAGTTAAAGACTTTTGGGCATCCTGCCACTTTTTTTTTTTTTTTTTTTTTTGCCAAAAGACACTAAACAGCGAGGGAAGGGAACTTGCTGGAAAATAATTGCTTTTAGAAGGAATAGCTGAATTACTTTTCTGGGTGAGAAATATGTAGGGGGAGAGGAAAACACAGTTAGGACTTTTGTATTCATTTGTACCAACTTTGTACAAGGAAAGCTTTTTCAGCTCTGAGCAACCTGGTCTGAGCTCCAGATGAGCCAAAATCTGCAACTGAAAAGTACCCCTCTTCTTCAATGGTAATAAAAAATATAAATACCCTGTGCAAACACACACACAGAGGCACAGTATATACATCTCAGTCATAAAATTATACCCTTAATAAAGTCTGTAAAATCTCTTTCATGCTTCACTTCTGAAAATCAGACTGAAAACCACCCTAACACTCTTTCGAAGGCTAAAAATAAGAAGTTAAAAGTCTGGTCAAGCATCAGGTTTGGATTTGAAGGTTCTGCTGTGATAACGAGTGACAGAACACACAGTTACAGTAGGTGGAGCTATAATGTGAAACCTCTCAAAACATTATGCTTGATTTTGCCCTAATTTCTAAAACATACCAACTGGAAGAGATGGGATACTGGATTACACAGAGAGCTGCCTTAATCTATACCCTGATTTTAGAATTGTATGTAAAATAAAAAAATTACATAAATAATTAGAGCATCTTCTGATGTACCTGGAAGATCCTGCTGCTTTCACAGCCAACACACATGTGGCCATTCCTCATTTGGAAATCAGAAGGTACTGGACATGAAAGATGGTATAAGTAGGAAATTTGTCTTTTCTGGCCTCTGAAACCCACGGAATTTTGAGAGAGAGAGTGTCTTCAAGTCAAATTACCTTTTCTAAAAAAGTGAATGTAATAACCTGCACAGCAGACTAATGGATTGGAATTAGTTGCAGGTACAATGAATTAGTCCTGAAATAAAGCTAGATTTTGCAATAATTATGATAAATTTCCCCCTGTGAGTTATACATAAATACCATTTATCAAATGTCTACTACAGAAAGATAAACATTTATTATTTATAAAAATAAGGTTCCAGACACAGTCCATTTTCACGTGTGCAGCCAGGTTATGTGTGCACCTGTACATCCCTGACTTTGATGAGTAATACTTCAACCTGAGTGAAAACATTTCATATTTCCTATGTTAATGAAATGTGATCTTTGCCTACACAACCACTGGTAGACTGATATGCTGGCTCCATCTGCGAGAAGCAAACTGCACCGGTTGTGCCTAAATTAAAGTCAAACCAACCTCACCCATTCCTCGGATATGAATGAATCTGGATCTACACAGCAGTGAAAACACTCAGGCTCTCCTGCCCAGAGCTGACAGAGGTGCACTGTTTGTTTTCTAGCCATGAACCTGCTCAATGGAATCACGTCCGCCCGAGCTCGGAGGCTTAAAATTCCTCGCGCAGAGCCCGCGGTGCTGACACGGATCCGATGAGACAGGAGAGCAGGAACGGCACTCTGCAGTGACCCAGCTGAACTGCACATGTTCCGACCCTTTCTGAACTCCCCGGAGCTTTTGTTACCTGGCAAATGCAGCTCTAAAGCTGCTCCTGCATCTCCAGCTCTCTGCTCTCAGCCTGTTTCTCTCTGGGGCGGGCGGCGAGAGAGGGGCTCTCTGAAGGCTTCTAAATGAGTGTGCACACTGAACTCTTACTGAACTGAATTAATTATTGAAGATGCAGATGGAGCTGTCCAAATGATAAGAACAGCTCCTGACGTATCATGATCCAAGCTTTCATTAAATCATTTCAGGCATACTAATGGTTTCCCACCGCTCATTACTTACATGCTCTTTTCTCATCGATATAATAACCCTGGTGCCCAAAGGCATGACAGGCTATGGAAACAGGGAAGTTGAAAGTTCTTCACAAGGCGTACTGAGGAACTTCATACTCCCCACTCATACTTCCCATCCTCATTTAGTGCAAAAATGTACACACACGCACAAGCACAAATTCTTATTAACCCAGAGAAAAAAAACTGTAAACTGAAGTAGAAAGCAATACTGTCAAAAAAGAGTTGCTGTGCATTGACAGTACTATTAAACTGAGAAACGTAAAAGTGATTTGAGCAACATGTTAAAAAGCTTACCAAGGTGAAATTCTCCCATGCTACTGACCCTCAGTAAGCTACACTACAAATACAGCTCTTCAGTTACACTGCACATGACATATTATTTTTCAGCCATTACACTTCTCACACTTCCTCCTCTGGTCTCTCTTGCTTTCTCAGTTGGGACGATTAGAGGGCAAAGCAATTGCCAGAGAAGAATTACTCCCAGGAACTGTGCTGTGATTGCTACCTGCTGTTTCATATTTTTGAAGTTGGGAATACTGCTCCCAAAGGCCTTTTGCGTCTCAGTCCAAATGATTTGCTGGAGGATAATAATGTCATGGCCAGTAAATAATAGTGAACTATGTCTGTACATGGTCAATATGATTAAATGTCCTTCACCTCTATTCTCACTCTGACCTGGTTATGAGGAAGTGAAAAAGCCGTCAGCAAAGCCCAAAGCTTCCCATGTGAAATGTTATTGTAGAGCAAGGGAGAAAAACAGAGGTGACTTAGCAAAATACTCCCAGTACCAATAACATAAGGAGTGAGACACGAAAAGCAAAATTATCACCACACGATCAGACTTGAGGTGACTGAACTGGCATGAAACTCAGAACAATTTTCTAGTAATAATTACAACACCTGCGAGAAACAACTTCGTGTTGAAAAATATCCTCTATCATACTGAAAATACTAAGTCTATCTTTCAATTGCAATTGTAGGTTTAATTAAAAGAAGAATCCCCATCATTCTGAGACATGATTTAATTTGAATGTATTTAGAATAAATTCTGTACAATTATTATGGTCTATACTTAAATCTTACAAACCCTGTAATTTTTCTAATTCAACTCATACACACATAAGTTTTGGCATCTACGCCCATGTATTTGAAAATATGCCAATGAACTCTTAACAACTTCTAATTTGCACAACTCTCTTTTCCTAAGTGACTGCTCAAGGATTGAAACAGTCTTTGATATAAATAGTGGATCCAACCTAAGTATACATAAGCTTATTTCAATATAATGAAGATACCAGGAAGGAATAAAGTACCTACAAAACATTGGCCAGGCATATTCTTTAACAGAAATTTCCACAATCAAAGTATTAGTTTCTTTTCACATGAGAAGTAACATAAAGTACAAAAAGTGCTGAAACAGAACTGTACGTCTGGCACATGATCTATAAAAGTCAGAAATTTCATAACTATGCCTGGTGATTCTGCTTCAGCTGAGAAACCAATAATGACAAAATACAATTTCTGAATTTGGAAATTCAAGGGAACTGAAATTCTGTCAACATTTCACAACTCTCCTACTGTGTAAGGGCAGGAAAACAAGCATCTATTTGAACTTTCAAGGGCATGAAAACAAATTAATTCATCCTTCCAAACTATCAGCAATGATGGGAAAAGCTCTCTCTGTATATAGGCTGTGTCCCCAGCACCAGCCTTCTGCAATATTTCCCAAGTACAGGCAGGCTTTAAAGATACAGAACTAGTAAAGAAAAACAAGGAAGTGGAATATAAGATTTATTTAATTATCCAGTGCATTAGAATACCCTTTTGAGGTAATTATGCTGGATAATCAGCAGTTAAATTCTGGAATGTGTACAGAACTGACTCAATTGAAAGCAATAACAATGGTTCCTTTTTAAAAAACCCTGTGTTTAGTACTTCATTCATTTTTCATATGACTACACATGTCAATACGACCTTCAGATTTCCAGCCATTAGGAAAAAAATGGCTGTGCTGAAGTGCCACCACAGCTTTGACAATTAATCATTTGGTCAGCACTCTTTAAAACTTTCTAAATATTTATATAACCATTGGTCACATTACAAACTGTTTATAAGCATTTTCATGAAATGTCTTGTGAATAAGGATAGTATTAACTTTGCTGTGAGGCAACCTAAAAGGAAAGGAAGAAACAAAGTTCTTACCAGAATAATAAAGGTAACAGGTCCAATGAAACTCCAGATAAAATAGTTATCTACATGGAGCCAGCAACTATGATGGAAAAAAGAATGAAAAGTGAACAGCTGCATTAGCACCTCCATCCAGTAAATGCAAAGTGCAAAAATACTTCTTAACTGAACATTTTGCCAATAAAAAATGATAAACATTGCACAGTACCACTTAATCCATGGACAATTCCTAACCTGAAACCCTTCTGCTGAGCCCTGTACAATAACACTACTGAACCTGAAACTACATCCTCAGGAACAGGTAACGTGTAAGGAGAAAGAAAACCAAAAGGAGCTCTCTCCTTGCAGTCAGTTTTGGTGACAGGTGCTATCATGGACTAATGAACCAACATCAGTAAGGATTTTTTACAGGCTTCCCATGTAACCTTCAAAATCTGCTTTTAACTTTGTATCACATGTGAAGTGCTCACTCCTGAGGAATATGAGACAGAAAACGTTCAGATGCCATGTTTTGCTGAGAAACAATATGGTATAAATAAAATGCCCCATCTGGGAGTTGAACAGTAGAGAAGGAATACATAAGATACCAGACTAAATGACGTGTAAACCTATTAGGGCCAACTTCACTTAGCAATTCATTTTTCATACAGCCCAGTTCCCTGAAGAATTGCTCTTATTTGTCTTTCATCAGTAGCAAAATCAAGCAGCTTTCTTGTAGTCAACAGTATCTTCCCATTCTGTAACTAATTTTATCAAAGGACAAAATAAACACTCCTGAAAGGCAAATTCATGCCTCCAGCAACTCAGATCCTCAGAAATGTTTTCTGTCTACCTTCTGTCACTTCCTATATATATCTGTATTTTTGTAAATAAAAGGCAGTGGTTGAATTTTAATCCCACTCTACTCGCCTGATAAAATATTATCAAAATAAAACATATGGGTTGGAATATTGTACTGTCATAATTCAGGATGAGAGCTAGCTAGAGGGGCAGCTGAACAAAGACATCTAATGAAGCATTAGCTTAAAACTGGGTGGTTAGGCTTGTCAGATACTTTGAGAAATTTTACTTAATATACATCTGAGGACAAAAAGTTATTTACTTTTTCAATTTGTTTCAGGTCAATCTTTTGTGTTAAAAGAAAGACCATAATTTAGAATCGGTCTCTCCAGAGTACAAATCCCCTGAACCTCGAGAATTACAAAAGACTTGATTGTAATTTGTGCACAGCGTCGCCATTCTCTTACCAGTAAAGCTTTCAGATGGTATTTTAGTCTGTCAGGGTCCCTCTGACAGCTAATAGGCTTTAAAAACTTATTCACTTGAAAAACACTCAGGTCACTTGCAATTACTTACGCTTTCTCTGTTCCGTAGCTCTTGTAGTCAATAGCTGCTGAGACACCAACTACTGTAGCAGGGAAGAGGTAGCCAGCAACATAATAGTACTTCTTTCTAGAATATTCACTTTCAAATACTTCTACTAACATTAGATAAAGCTGCACTCCTTCTAGACACATCCAGGCAAAGGCTGCCAGGAAGAAAAAGTGTAAGAGACCTGCAAATATCGGACATGCAATCTGCAAAGAAAGAGAGAGATGGGAATATAAACCACAAAACCTCCACATCATTGCCCCTCCAATTAAAAAGTGTGCAATAGAACTGCATATGCTTCTATAAGAAATCTTTCACAAACTCAGGAGCAATTTCCCTACCTGAAAACATAGGCTGGACATTTGAAAATACTACTGTGTGTTCAGGAGCTACAGAGAGTAAATCGGCTGAACAGCGTGAATGGAAATAAGGAAATTGCACCCTCACCCACCAGTCGTCAATTATACAGTGGACTTTCCAATTTTATAAGCAACTCTTTGATTTTGAAACTGATATGGTTTTAGGACTTGGCAGTTGACATGAGCAGTTGGTTCTAGAAGCATAATGTGATATTGCTTATTTAAAATTATGAAGTGGCTGCCCACAGATTTTTATCTGCTGTAATTTGGAAATTTCTACTGTTGTAACAGAAATTAATCTGAATTCTCTCCCCATTGGCCAAATTCTGGATGAAACTATACTGAATTATTAAACTTCAACCCAATGTATCGCTTCAGAAATATTTTCACCAATACTGCCAGAATACCTGCACGAGTGTGCAGTGTAAAACATCTGTAAATATACACAAAAGGCTCTGTGCTAATATATATATACATAAAAAAATAGTCAATAGCTGTTAAGACATATAAATAGAGAAAACATATGTGTTCCTAATACGTCAACATTTAATTTCATCTCCTTTTTCAAAAGTCTAACTACCTGCTTCATCAACAGTCAGAGTTTCTCAAGTGAAAAGGAAAAGCATATTTTGGACGGATGTAAATACTGTTTATGAGTACGTCTGTCTTATTTTCACACTGAGCTTTTATTTCAGCCTTGCTGTGTCAGAACACTGAAAACTTGTCAGTGTTGTCATGTTTTAATTCAAATCCATTTCAAACAGTCATTTCAGAGAACAAGATCAGTACACACAGAGAGAACTTACCTTGTACTCTGTCTTATCGATGCCTATTAGGAAAATGAACTCAGCAATGAATAGGTTGATACAAAGGTTCTTGTGAATAGTGTTACGATCGCTTTGCAGGCCACGGAAAAAACAGAATGTGAAGATGCAGATGGCCAGGCAAACAAGAGAGATGACAATTCCCACCCAGGTGATGACAGTGAGGAGCAATTCGTGCACTCCATCTTTGTACTAGAAATAACCAAGAATGGAGAAAATTAATATGACTCTTCATGAGTATAAACAAAAACCTATTTTCACAGGTAGCATCCAGAAAAGTCACTTGTTTATTACATGAGATGGGCAAAATGTACTCAGTAACATCTCAGTCTCAGGTCAGCTTCCCAGAAAAACAGGATTAGGCCAAGTAGAAAAGGAGCAGGTCTGAGAGAAAAATGTGACTGTTTTATCCAAACCAGATAGCATTTTTACTTTTCCTATGTCTCCCTGTAAACTGGTCAGAAATACGGCAGACACCACATTTTTAAAGAGTCACTCGGCTCTGATGCAAAGAGAAGGGAGAGCTTTCCCTGGGACCTACTGTAAGAGTACATGTTCTTTCCTACAGACCTGCAGCTCCACAGCAGAGAAGAAAGCAACGTACAAAACCACACTGATCAGGATAAAAGGCAGAATATGCTACAGGTGTAATTCTGGCTTCAATCTCACATCCAGCTAAAGAAGGTTCCTTGCTTCAGCTATGACAGAATCACTTCTGTCCCCGTGGTTGTCTTTGCACCAGCCTTTTCCAATGCAGTGGCTGTAAAGTCCCATATCCCTGCAAATATTGCGTGCTCTGGGCCCCTGACATCCAGTAACTGCTTTATATAGACAACAACATTTCTGAGTATGAACAGGCACCTAAACAAGCAGTGTGGAAGCTCCTTGACCTTCCTCTCCAAGGAGAGCTGGCACTTGTGCTTCCAGGGAACAGCCTGCACAGCTGTCTCTACAGACACTTTCCATCTGGACTGGGGGGAGGTCTTTAAAATGGTTGTAGGGTTGGTCAGTAACTTTAAAATATGACTTGTAGAAAACTCTTCTCCTTCCTTTCATTCTCTTGTTGTTATTTTACTTGTAACTTCATGGATGAGGAAGAAAAGTGCTACAGAAAGCAAAGTGCTTTGGAAAGAGTGGATAGGAGCTATAAATACTAAAGAAACTTCAGCAATTTTGGATCTTGCTGACAATTTAAAGCTAAATCTTTTAAGTTTGTTCCCTGCCTGTGGCTGGAAACATCGTTACCTACCACAATCTCCCGACGAGCCATAAGAATTGCAAAGTTGGTCAGGTGACTGCAAGCACACGTGGTGTGAGTTTTATTTGTGTCAACCAGTTTGCAGCCTTGCGTTGACCAGTACCCCATCATAGTCCTCTCGGAGTAGTTCCAGAAGGAGCAATTTGCATTGAAATAATTGTCAGGCTGGGAGATAAAAGGATAACACGAAATGAGGATTTTACACACTAAGATGGCAATAACAATCGTTTAATACGTGTAAAGGGTAATTTAGATTAAACTTTGCATGTTTCGGACAATAAAGTTTTTCATCAGCAAAACTGTGGACTGTATTGCACAAGGAAGACATCCAGTTTAAAAGGGACTTTATAGTCCGAAGCACTCTAAAGTGTAGTCTCAATTACTGTAGACTCAATTTTAAACAATTACAATTTCCATCTTACGATTTTATGCATGGATGGTACATTATAGTCATTCTTGCTTTCTGGGAAATTAGGACTGTGAATTTATTCTGAAGATATTTTTCCTGTAATTGACAATTCGAAAACAGGGTCTTTTTCTTTTGATTGTCACCTTTGGTCAGGCCAAAGTCATGTGAACAGATATCAGGAAAAAGTTCACTCCTCAATGCCTATCTATTTTGATGAAAAACAATCAAAACAGATTTATAAAAGGAGGCAAATTGAGAGGAAAATCCAACCATATCTTCTCCATCACAGTAGTGATTATTTACTTTCCCCATGTGGGACATGAAAACAGAAAGGGCCAAAGTTATGAGCAAAGAAACACATCAAATAAAATGCCATGAAGAAAATAAACGTAAATTTAAAGTATAACAAACCAAGATATCGTACTTTATTCTTCACTGAATAAATGCAATTTCAAGAATTTGAATAGGCATCCATAACGTGGTCCAAAAGTAATGTTGAAAGTCAAAAGTGCCAATAAAAATTGTAACATCAGGCTATCAAGAATCTTAACAGTTATTTTCAACCCTGCTACTAAGGTAAGAGTTAATTTTCAGTTAGAAACAAATTAGTCATTTACATTTTCATGCTGATTACTGAATTAGCTTTCATTAAGAATACACTTAAGTTCTAATAATCACTGAACCAGGCTCATTTAATTTTATGTTCACAGACTTAACTCGACTTGCGTCTCCGACCCAGTCCAACATTTAAAATTCAAATGGAAAAAAAAAAGGGTTGTTTTTCCCGCATGGCTTTTCTCCCTTGCTGCTTTTATGACCTTCCCATTAAGTCATTAGCGTGACTCACGTCGATGTGCTCCAGTGTGAAGTGCACGGGGTCGGTGAGGTACACCCGGCTCGACTCCTTGTTGATGGAGGCGGCGATGACGTGCGAGTTGACGGCGATGGTGCTGTTCCGCCCGGCCAAGTCGCTGCCCAGCTTTATGGTGGCGTTCTCGGTGCTGAGGAAACGGCCCAGGCTTTTGTAGATGATGAAAACCAGCTTTGCTGATCCTACAAAAGACAAGGAATCCCATCATCGTGCCACGCAGTCCTACAGAGAGGCAGCAACCTGTACTCCAGTGAACCGCCGATCAAGCACCGGTACACAGAGAGGCATTTTTAGGCTGTGGATTTGAAGAACAACGACCAGGCGCTCCTGGTCTTTGAGAAAACGCCACAGAGCGGTTTTGCTGTGCTTTGTTTGGATATTTTAACCAGGGGAGGTAAGCAGGCTGGGCAGAAGTTAATGGGGTTTCAGTGCTCCGTGCCCAGGACTCACCGTTCCTGCTGTTCTGCTTCACGGTGCTCGCCGAGAGCTGAATCGAGTTGCCTCCTTTGCTGCCCTGAGGAAATTTCAAGTCCTGCACCTGGCCCTCAGTAATGAGCACTGCAACATCCAAAACTAAGCAGACCAGAGGAGGAAAAAAAAAAAAAAGTGTAAGAAAAGGAGAATGCAGAGAAAGTCTCTTGGCCAGATTGCAATATGCCAGATGACAATCTTTCCCCCCACTCTTCATTTAGTTTTCTCACACTGCTGTCTGTAAGGCAGATTTGTACTGCATGTTTCAATCACACACAGCTAGCTTCTTTACTAAATCTAGTGCACACTGCTAAAATGACAGCATTTAATAGTGATAACACGATACCAAACCTCCTCCTAGTTTGTGCCCCCCAAACATCCACTTAAAAATACCACACACACATTGCAGAAAAATGCTAGTTTTGAAGATCCTAATGTCTATGCAGTATCTCCTGCTGACAAATTTAGAACTTTAAGTATTGATTTAGATATAAAGAGTTTTTTAAAGAGTCAGCAAAGAATACCTAAGAATAGTTAAGCTGTGCATCTAGCAAAATCAGTATTCATAGCTAAAAATAATTTCTAATTTTTTTCCTAAATGTAATTCCGTATAAAGGTTTACAGGAAACCATTTTATTAGTTCTGCTAAAAAACAAAATGAAAAATCAGATGCCACTCGACTGTACTTAGGTATCACTTTTATAACACACTGTATATTGGGAAACTTTTGTGGGATTGCCATCAAACACTGGATTCCTTTGGATGGATAAAATCATATAGGTGAGAGTGGACAACTGGTTGACAAAATGTGTGTTAGATTAAACTGGTCTAACTACAGGTGTGAACTAGACTAACAAAAGGTGTGAAATTAGGGAATGACTTCTCTTTCTCTAGGCCATACATGTGTATGTCCTGCATGGCACTGGTGATATGTTACTGTGACTCGAAGACAGCTCTGATAAGGGACTGTAAAACCCTTCCCCATCCTTTCCCAGTATCCTCCTACTCAATTAAAAACTAGGCAGAGTCATCTTCTACAGTTACAAATATGCAGACACCGAAACGTGAAAAGCCTAATTTCTGCACTCTCCTCCAATATCTCAGTGCTCTGCACATTAGCAGACTTTCAGGTTCCTCGTACCTCACTGAGACAACATTAATCTCTGTAATAAGTCGAAGGAATTTTAATTTTATGCATAGCAATGATTTTTGCTTTAGCACATCCTGCATAACAATATTTGCACGTCTCTGATACCAAACCCCTTCATTTCCCTGTCACCACTCAAATTCTAAATTAGGCTCCAACTATCTTCAGCTCCTTTGCAGTCTCCGAAGCATAGCTATTCTGCATTATGGGAGATGTAGTTCACTAAACACATTTTTACCTGAAGGCAGTCATGTTTATTATAAACATTTGGCCTATATTCTGACTACCTGAAATATTTAACTGGCACAGTACGTTGCAAAAAAAGTAATTTAAATTCATTAGGAACATTTTATATATAACAGAAAAGCATTTTCTGCAGCTCTACAGAAAGCAGTTACCTCAAAAAATCCATACTCTGCCATTTAAGCACTCTTCACATCCATGCGTTCTGCTAATGATTTTTCAGTGGTAAATCAACTTTGCAACATCAACTACTTTCCATTTTATACTGTATTAATGACACTGAAGAAGAATGTCACTGTGGAGCATTCCCTTTTCCACTAAATGTTGTGCAGCTCAGCTTCAGAGGGTTATGTTGCTGTCTGGAGTATTTTTTCCTCATTTTGTAAAGCAACGCAGAGCACTTGAATTTCTGCTAGAAAAGAAGTTTACTTACCGATGTTTTCTGTGGGCATTGAGACTCTGGTTGGTTCTAGAAGATTATCAGCCAAAACAAAAGCCCCTTCTTCTAATGTATCAAGTAACATTGTGGCTGCATGGGCTTGCTCTGAAGAATTCATGTCCTTCCAGGACTCCAGAGCTTCAGGCCTGAGCAGGTTGTCCACTGTATCCACAATTGCCTGCATTCATTACAAAACTATCATTAGGTCTGATTGCCCTAGGCAGCTGGGGAATATTTCCAATGTTATCTGGTGACAATTATAATACTTAACTGTCAGAATGATTTACTGTGATTTAATGGCACTAGAACACAATTTTCAACAGTAAAATATTTTCCATCCTCTCCTTGGATTAGCATGAATAGAAGCGCAGTTAGCCACTAGCATTGTGTGGTCTCTAAGTGGTAAACATGCAGATTTGACTTGTTTTGTGCCAGATATAAAGACGGTATTATTAACGTGCTGAAAAAATGTAAAAATAAATGCCAGAAGTTTTGCCTGGAGCTTTCATCTTAAAGTTAATGTCAAAACGTATAACTTCTATTTAAAAACACTAATGCCAAAATTAGCATTCTGCAGTTTAGCTAAAATGACAATACTCCTCCTCTGGAAACTGAGGCCAGCTAATGCAGCCCCAGCACTATAAACTCCTTGTCTATGACAAACTGCCTCCTTTATTACAGGAGGCATGCAATGAAGCTGACTCAGTGGATATAAATTAGCCCTGGCCACTCTCACTCCCCCTCCTGTTCCTGTACCTGTTCATAGATACTTAAAAAGATTACCAGCTCCCATTCCTGCACAAAGGTCAGTCAGAAAAGGAAATCAATAGAGCAAACAAGATGTCCACTGACTGTGCCTGTTATCGGGGAAGGCAAAACTGGAAAGCCGAAAAAAACTGCCACTTTAAAAAGTTTTACTTGTAACAACTCTATCATGTTTTAAGGTTCGTTTAGCTGCATATAAAGTAACAATAAAGAAGGAAGAGGAATAATTCAGTGACATGATTACATTATTTTTACAAAATAATCCAATCAGAGTAATCAGGTAATCAATTGAAGGCAGGCTTTTACATTAATGCATAATGTAGCTGTGCATTGAGTACACCATGCATTGCTGGAACACCCTGTTTACTCTGTCCCATTTACCTACTCATATTGTGTCATTAAGCACATATATAATTTGTTTGATCAATTTAAAAGCACTGGAAATGGAAACAGAAGACATTGTACAAACAGAAAGATGTCGGTCTGGAAATACCACATCGTGCAAACAAACGAATACAAAAAGTTGGTCAAGGCTATTGTCAGAGCAAGATTAATTAGCCTAATCCATTTTAATATCCTCTTTCTGTCTGCACTGTGAGCCACCATGACCTTCCTGGCAGGTGGAAGATACTTCGAAGTGGCATTAAAGCCTTTTTTCTTTCTCTAATGGGAGACAGAATAGTCAAAATGCTCACACTGATCCTGCTGCAGCCATTAACTAGAGTGGAACAGAAATTGGTCTGCAGAGGCCAGATTCATTAGTCACCAAGAAATACAGATTGGAGCCTCTAATCTGAGGTACAAATGAATCCTCTGTCACAAAGTGGGAACTTGCTTCATTTGCATAGTGTAAGTCAGCTTTTGATTTGTAATTTCAAGAGGTTTATTAGTCTTATCTAAGCAGAGAAGCCCATTTGAGACCTACAGAAAATGACACCGTTTGGAAATGCAGGTTGTGCTGGGGATTCTCATGTATCACCACACTGTGCTGACGGGGGGTGTTCGTTAATGTGACACTATTTTATTTATTAGGGCGTAACCTAACCCTGCATTTTTCTTGTGGAAAATGATCACCTGCCCAGTAATATTTCTGAGGTGCTTCTCCTCTCAGACAGAGGCAAGGGGATGGTGGGAAAGACCCCCTGGCCCCTGTGACACAGCTCTTCTCACGATCCCATTTACCAATGAAAAGGAACCACACAAATCCACTCCACTCAAACCATATCTGCTGCATTTCCCTTTAGTATTAAAAAATATTTTCTAATAAAAAACTATTACAATTATTATTATTATTATTTGAGAAGCTATTTTCTCTCCTGATCTTTGCCTCTTTTTGTCAAATTTCTGCACAACTGGACATCTCCCATCCACTTCCAGGGCTTTAGGATAAAAGACAGAGGTGCCCTGTACAGAGAAATCTCTCTTCAATAAGAATCTTAATTAATTTTATTATGTTGCAAAGTATTTCAAAGTTCTTTTCAAAAATCATTCTTACATTTCATCTCAAAGGGTACAAGTAAAAATCAGCATTTTAGAAGTTTTGAAAAAATGTGCAATAAAATTTTTCAGAGCCAGACACATGTATGTGTTCCAGGGCTGTTTTCTCTCCTTCTCAGGGGCGAAGTGGCATTACTGGCACTGTACAGCAGAGAAGGAGTTGGCCAGTACAGACAACCATTCTACAGCTGATGAAAGGAACTGGAAATTAGGGAGCAATGTGTGACATGCCTTCCATAGAGCCTGGTTAATGGGACACATGGCAGACATTTTACTTGTGAAGTTACAGAAATGTTTGTCTTTGCATTTTATCCTGAAGTCATTGAATTGTAACAATTCTTAAAACTGTAAGAAAGAGTGATTTTACTAGGTAAAAGGATACACAAAGAACAAAGCAAGCTATATAAAGTACATTTTTCACACAAGCAAATTAACTCTAAACAGTCTTTGATATAAAATTCTACCAAGATGAAGTAATTTCTTTAAATTGCCAGCTTTTTCCCCTACCCAAGGTTTTATTATGAGATAGATGTTATTTCCAATTCAGAAAATAACCCTTTCTGCTCTTTTTGTTTCAAACAAGTTGAGGTAAAAGACGTATAAACTTTGATGGTAAATTTTTTTTTCTGAGCGTTATACCTGTGCAAAGCCAACATTTGTAAAGTTGATATGGGGCACAATACACATTTATCAAAGACTGAAATACATAGGATCATGCAGCAAGATGATAAAGCGTGGCAGGTTGCTGAAGCAGGGAGAAAGCAGGGTGACAGCACAGGAGAGATACCTTAAGGTAAGCCCTGCATGTCTTCTCTCGTTTTTGGAGCTTTTTAGTAAGGAAAAAAAAAATCAGAAGTTAGACAGATTCTGGAAAGCTTCAGAAATAGGAAAAAAAAATACTCTGTTTTTTCAAATCGCGGTTTTGAACTACAGCCTGGACAGTAATCTAGTTTCTGTCCACAATGACTACAAAAAAAACATCACACAGGAAACATTTTTCCCCAACTGTGGTTTAAGCCCAGCTGGCAAGTCCCACACAGTCCTCGCTCATTCCCTCACCAGCACCTTGGGGGGAAGAATCACAAGGGTAGGAGTGAGAAAACTCACGACTTGAGATAAAGGCAGTTCAACAGGTAAAACAAAAGCCAGGCATGCAAGCAGAGCAAACCAAGGAATTCACTGCTTCCCAGGGGCAGGCAGGTGTTCAGCCAGCCCAGGAAAGCTGGGCTCCATCACAACTGTTATGGGGGAAGACAAACACCATAACTCCTGATGTCCCCCTCTTCTTCCTAATCCCCAGCAGCTTTACATAGGGAGCAGGATGCCACAGGGGATGGAACATCCCCTTGGTGAGCTGGGCTCAGCTGTCCTGGGGCGTCCCCTCCCAGTTTCCCACGCACCCCCAACTTCCCTGCCAGCATGGCAGTGTGAGAACAGGGCTGTGCAAGGGCTGCCCAGCAAAAGCAAAACATCTCTGCATTATCAGCAGGTGTTCACCACAAACCCAAGGCACAGCCCCATAGTAGCCACTGTGAAGAACATTAACTCCATCCTAGCCAGAACCAGCACAGCAACCCTTACACGGGTGTCCAGATACCTTTTGTCCAAAGAGTGGGATTTGTATGAAAAGGCCAAAGGAGGAAATCCCTGTGTGGGCACTTGATCTGTCTCTGGGAAAACTATTTTGAGGGCAGCTAGAGACTGTAAATAAAACTATTGCCAAAATAACAGGGGAGTGCATCTCTTGCTAAAGGAGGATGAAAAAAAACTTCGTTTGTGGGTTGCTGACTCGGCTGACACAAGGCAGAGGCTGAGAAACACAGCATTTCCTCTGAGAAAAAGAGGAAAGGTAACAACACTTGCAATTTCCATTTAAACCACAAAGACATACATTTTCTCTGCAATGTTTCTGGGAACATCACGCCAGAGAAAACATGAATTTAGATATGTTTTAGATATGTGTATGAAAGCATTTTTATAAAGATCAATTTTAAGTCATGTCAGTGTCTTTTAAAGGCTAAGAAAGTGCTATTATTCTGCAGAAAGTCAGATCAAAATAAAACCCTGCATCTATGCAGAATCCCACTGATTTTATTACACGTTCAGGGTTAAAAGGATCACTGGATAAACACGCTGACTTGTTACAGAATTTCTGAGAGTTGATACTCATTTCCCTCACACTAGTTATAATGCATTCCAGATTTTAATACGGGACACAGCTATGTATTTTAGGACCAGTCAGCTATTGTGAATTATATCTTATTCCCTAAAGAAGGTAATTGCAACTTTCTGCCGTGTATTTACTGCTGTTTTCCCTCATATGCTTATTCCAGAACTACGCGCACGCAGGAACAAAGTACAGATTAATATTTCTGAAAGGAAAAGAACACAAAGCCCAAGGGCAATGGTTATCCCAGCATGAGGAGGTGATGCGAGGCGTGTACCTTGTTATAACTCCTTCCAGCAGAGTCCTTTTCACTGGGCCGTAGTTCCTGAAGTTGAGCATCCAAAATGTCCACGAGCTGTTCCATCAGCCTCACTGAGGAACTCACATCGCCAGCAAACACTGGGCCTTTGGTGTGTTTAGCCAGTTCATTGGCCAGACTGGCAGCATTTTCCCCACTTCTGATCTGAAATGACAATTTATATTATCTCAGCAGGGTCCCTTGTTCTGCTTGAGGCTCCTAATTCCAATTCCCTGTGTACCTTTGTTGTGGTGAAATAACCATTTGCACATACATTGAAATCTGTAACTAATTGAGACCAATAACGTTCTCTTTATCTCAGAAGATTAAAGGTTCTTAGATCCATGACACACAAAAGCAGTTCTTAACAGCCATCAAAACCAGAAATCTGACTGGGACTTCTGGGCTAGATCTGCTATTCATCCTCGCTTTTATTTTACTGCCATTATCAGACAGTAAGAAATCTATTTGTTCATACCCATGCTTGAGGCATTCAAAAGTCAAGTAGCTTGGTATTGACAACAAATTATTCAGTTTTCAGAAACTTTGTAAATCTCAGTAGGGAGGGAAAACACAGAAAGTGGTTCTGCACTCTAATCATACTGTTATCAATGCACTCAGACAAAAATCTATTCATTACAGTGTAATTTTGACTGAACAAAACCCCTTGCTGCATACCACAGGTTTTGCTGTTTGACTTACAGTATTTGATTTATCAAGCAAATATTGCGTTTGGTTTTTGAACATCAGCAAAGCTACTTTGTTCTCAATAGTGATGAGAACGTGTAATCACAGATTCAATTACAGAACTCAGAGGGAGGGCACACCAAAACATGCACATGAACCCAACTGCTGGCCAGTGCTCTGCACTTGGAGCACACACAACTCCTTCTGCTTTGAAAGAACAGAGAGTAACAAACACAGCTTCAACAAACTGAATTATTAATGCTCAGAGTTAAAATCTTTAATCACCAGCGTACACCAGATTAAAAGGTTTCAACCAACCTTCTGAGCCAGCTGATTTACCCAGTGTGAGGTACAGTTGCTAAGATCAGGGCCTTTGGGGTTCCACATTCCCGTTAAGACCACGCAGAGATACGAGGCAGTTCCTACAACAGATGTAGAAAACTACAGTGAAAGGGAAACCATTTTTCTGCACGCATTCAGGAAATTGGCTACACTAAACAATGCTAAATTCTGAATGCTGCTAATGGTAGTAGTTGACAATAATTGACAAAAACGAAAGGAAATAACGTCGATTACAAAGAGCAACGAAAAAAGTCAGTGAAAAGTACCAGACGTTTTCTGCAAACAAACAAAAAGCCCTTGATTTTTCCTGGAGCTCATCCAGAGGGGAGCTAATAATGAGAAAGGCAGCTGTAAGCATATTTCACAACAGTCCTCAAGCAGTGCCCTAAAATTTGACCTGGATTCTCAAAAGTGCAAGTACAAGGTAATTCTGTGGCTACGCTCAAATGACGTTTGCAGACTGACCACTGACTGCTGCCAGTAGAGACTGCACTCTGCAAGTAACCAAAAAATCATGTGACAAACAGCCTGAGATTAAAAAAATGTTCATCCCAAGAGAGCTGCCCATCGCTTTTGAAATATCTGCTTGAAATCAAGATACATTTTTAAAGGCAGTACCTCGCGTTCCTTTGGGGCAAGGGCGTTCAACCATCATTCCTCGTTGTGTCTGAGGCCAGCTAATCCCCCTGGCCTCAGTCGGTTCACAGAATCTCTCTGGCAAAGGGAAAAAACTTGTCACGGGAGGAATTTTGGTTGTGGAAACGGGTGGCGGTGGTCTGGGTCCTTTGCTTCCTTCCTTTGTTCCTCCAGCTAGTGTTGTGCTTATGGGACCTTTCTGGGATGTGGTGCTAGTGGTTGACACTGTGGTTTTGTACAGCTCTGCTGAAGAAGTTATTGTCACTGCTGTGGTAGGCACTGCACGGGGAAAATTAGAGCAATAATAAAGTAAATGACTTAGAATTATATATAAAAAAAAGTTATTTAAAAGTTATTTATGTAGCTTTAAAGGATTCTCTGGAGTCTCCTTTCCTTTATCTTAATATTACTCTCATTGCTATTCTGGGTGCTTAAGATATAACCGACTGACTTCTTTTTTTTTTACCCCCAACCCATTCTGGTATGACGTTTCAGCACATTCTCCAAATAATCTCTTCGGTAATAAAAATTGATAGTTACATTTCTAAAGGCTGAAAGGCAGTCCTAGCAAGTTATCAGCACATAACAAACACGCTCAAAGCAATTAAAGATGACTTAATCACTTCTGCAGCAGGAACACCTTGACAGACAGACTCATTTGAAGCAGTGTGCCGTAAACAATGCAGGCCAGCTTCAACAGCAAAGGCAGTGGGCTGGAACTAACGAGACCATTTTTAAAAAACAGCCCCCAAACCTTCAAGTCACCCAGCACACACCTTCCAGGGCCATAATTATGATAACATCTTCCCACCCAGCAGTCATTCTGCTCCAGAGAGCTGCAGCATGCCCCGTTAGCTCCAAACACAGCACGTACGTGGTGTTCTCCTCTGTGAGCATCTGGGGCCTTAACACCCTCTTTTGACAAAGCAGGTATGAAGACACAACTCCTATAAGCTGGGGGCAAGGACCTAGTTTCATCTTGCACAAAAGCCCAGGACTGGATCAGGACACATCCCTTCTGCCCAGGATGTGCAGCCAGTTACCACTCATTATTTCCAAATCTTCATTAGCGTTCACAATGCTTTACAGGCACATGAAAGCACAGATTCCTTGTGCTGAGAATAAATAAGCTCATATAAAATGATTTTGTCTTTTTTCTTTTTTTTTTTCTTCTTCTGCTAGGCCCTTGAACTCTGAGTTACTGGACAATGCAGCTTCTCTAAATTAAATCATGAAATAAAAACAAAAGAAGAGTTGTCTCCCTTTCTTCCAGCAGTTACTTTATAAGTTAGTGTTTTGAATAATATTAACTTTCAGTAGTTTGGCAGTTAAAAAGCCTTTTTCAAAACCCTTTTTCAATTATGTTTCAGTTATAACATACTAGAGGTCTTACACAGTAATTTATCTTTTTATTTTCACATGAATTTAGAGTGGAGTTTTTAAAGAGTAAAGTCAAAGATGTGCTTCTCATCCCTCTCCTGCTCACAAATGAGAAACTTCTCCAGAGAGCCTGTCTTCTTTTCAGTCTTGTTCTTGGTTGCTTGAACACAGCCTGTGTAATTGTGCTGAACTCGTGGTGTAGCCAGCTCCTCCTGAAATCCTCAGATCTGTTCTGCAAGTGCTTGCCTGACATCTTGTGAAACTGCTCTATTTTCCTTTTGATGACAATGCATCCAGCCTTCCAGTGCTCTCCCAATTAACATTTGTCAAAAGCATTTGCAATCACTTGCACAAGTGTCAGGCAGTGCTGAATCAGGTCCTGGGGAACGGGGAGATGGTGGGGATGGAGAATGATGCAGGGACAACCAATTATTTCTATCCATCCCCCAGTACATGGTTCTAATTAGTACATATTTAATCACTGCAATGTGTATTAGCATTACTGCGATTACAGCTCAAACCCTATAATGTTTAGGACAGTTTTGTCTCAGGAATACCATTGTCAGAATTCATAACAACATTCTGAAGTTCAGGAGTGAGGTAAAAATTGTCAGAACTTATTTTGTGTTGTGCCCTGAGCTAATATAATCCCACTGCCATTATGCACCTTTAGGTAGAACAATGTTCATGCTATCCATTAAAACCAATTTCAAAGCCTATCACCTACGATTCAAAAACGACCTGCATAGCATAGCAGTACTACATACTTAGAAATATATTTTTAATCTCACGTTTTAGGAGAAAGACTTCAAACCACCTCTCTCAAAAAAAAACCTGAAAAAATTACAGATAACTTCTAAGAGATTTTCTCTTGAATTAAATTTAAAAAAAGGAGAAGTCAGCATATTTAAGAATGTATCAGGAAACTTCAGACAGCGCTTGAAGTCTGGGAAAAAAAGATGGTTGAAAAAATAAGAAACAACTGAAGGCATCACTTCAAGGAATACATCTAGCTTTTAGAGGGCAGGTCATTTTGTTTTCAATGACCTGTGGGAACTTAGATGTGCGAGGCCATTCTCCTGAGCTGCAGGGGACACGTGACAGCTGCCACCACCCCACGTGTCTCCTTCTGAAAGCTGAGGGTGGTGGCACCTGGGGGCTCCTGCCAATGGACTTTGCCAACACCAGCCAATGGCAGCGATGTTTAACATGCCACAACTAAGAAGAATAACAAACTAATAACTCCATATCGAGGTTATGAACCTATTGTTCTGAGCAGCAGGGTTGAGTCTCTACAAGGCTGAAGATGCATAATTTTTGCCCAACTCCAATAAAGCCACTTTTACAATGCAAGATTCTATTTTGGACTTTTTGACGAGGCTTGACATGCTGAGGAGAAAACCAAAACCTCTTCTGTCTCCTTTTTTTTTTTTTTTTTTAAGAATAGGTGTGTCTTACTATCAGCTGAAGAGCAATAGGAAGCACATCCAAAGACTCAAATTGAAAGTAATTAATTCACATTTGTTTCATGCAGCTCCTAACAGCTGATTTAAACAGTTATGCATGCTATCTGTTACTAAAAATGAAGACACCACTGGAGTAAAACTTAACACCTGTTTAAGAGTGTGATGTCTATAAAAACCATAACACAACTGCCTGGGACAGCAGGGGAATAGTAACTTTCTTTCCCCAACTGACAGTGAAGAGTAGATTTAGACAAGGCACACAAGCTATCTAGTATTCCTTGCCAACAGGTTTCTATTCTAGGCAGGAATAAAATAAGTTTTAAAAAAACTAAACCGAGCCAAATCAAAAAATTCCCCACCCAAAATACAACTCTGAGCTCAGATTTACAACTGTGTTGAAATGCCCAGATGATGTGGCACTTCTGGAAATACGAATGGTTCCATTCTCACCTCTGGCATCCAGGCAGTTTTAGAAATCAGCTGCACGGATTTTTCAGTTCAGCGTATGCTCTTATAGGTCAGGTATCTCAGTGTGTTTGGACACAGGAAAATCTATGTGCCCACCCTAATTTTACTGAGCTGCTCTGTACAGCCATGGAGATCAGAAACCTGTGCAAATCACGATTTTCCTGCCTTCTGTTTATTGCTGCTGTGTGCCTGTTTTCATGCTTCAGTAAATGGCAGGGAAGGCATGAAGACTCACCTAATTACCTATAGGTTCCAGCTATTATGCTAGCCAGTACTCTACTGACCCTGCCAAATCCATTTAGTTGAAAGCAAAATGTTTACACAGCCATTTAAAAATTTACACCCTGAAAATGATAACAAACATGACAAAAAATTAGCAAAATACCTACGGTTAAGAAATGTGCTATCTGGTGCCCATTACATTGTCTTTACTCGTACAAGCACTCTTTCATCAGTCTGTAGTCTATCAGATTTGATATAATAGTACAGGTGTAATTTACTTGACAATTTGCTGCATGACTTTGTCATAGATTCTTGCTGTTGCAATAGTTTTCTATTATTTCAAGCCCTTGGTGATACCACTCTCTAAGTTTCTGTTCTGTCCACACTCACAACATCCATATTTTCCTGCAGTGACCCAATAATAGTTAATGATGGGTATCATGGTACAAAAGGGGAGACAGTTTCAGTTTGAACAGTTAGCACAAATTGGGGTGAATGTAGATGAAATCTCTCCCTAACACACTAACACAGAACAAAAGGATTTATCTTCTTTTTGTTACCAAGGAAACCTTACAATGTAATGCACATATTCACTTTTCAGAGGGAAAATTCCCTTCGTTCTTCCAGGTCTTTTAACTTAAAATTCTTCCAAAAATTCCTATTTCAGCAAGGATTCACTTGGACCGTCAGTACCTCCTGTAGAAAGAATGTACCTGGACATATCCACTGAATTTGCCAAGGATATAAAAACTCTGATTTGTCTCAAATTTTTCACAGTGCCTTTTTGAAGGGCCTGATACATTTTACTTCATTTCTAAATTAGAGTTTTCATTTTTAAATGCTTTTTTACACTTAACCTTAGAAAACATGCTCTTCTGCAACACCTGAGCGGTGCTTGTCAGCTGTAGCCCTGAAAACCATTTCTACACCTATGCCAAAGGTGCACCAGCTGGAGGCTGAACGTTTTACGTGCAGCATTGCCTTGGCAGGCACCTTGCAAATGCCAGCAGACACCAGCACTGCAGGAACAGCAGGATCCCCTGGAGAAAACCTCAGCTGGGGCATTTGCTCAGCATCAGATGTGCAGCCGAGGCACTCAGGGACACGGCTCAGGAGTGGGCTCAGCAGGGCTGGGTTTACACTGAACTCCATGAGCTTCAGGGCTTTTCCATGGTTCTGTGATACAGTTATGTACTATAATTTCCATGAGAAGTGAGAAGAAACAACATAAAAACGCAAAAAGAACAACATAAACATAAAAAGAATGAGGTTAAGCCAGGAGTTCTAAGAGCAGCAGACTCACTGCCAGAGTAGAAACCCAACAGTTTTAGAAATCTGAAGAGTTCTGAAGACTGAGAAAATAAGGATGGATGCAGGGAGCAGGTAACACGGACAGCTGCAAGAGGAGAAAATGGTGCAGGTTTGCAGCAAGGGTAAAGTCAACATCAGGTTAATTATAGTGGTACTTCAGAGGTTTCAACAGGCAGATTTAAAAATTAAAGAAACAACAGAGAAAACAAAGCCAGGTTTGAGGACACAGACAGGCCCAAGTTTTGGCACTGGGAGCAAATGTAAGGGAGCAACTCAAGTATGACAAATTCATCTTTCTTGTAGGAAGAAAGACTGTTGTTTTTGAAGCACTCTGTAGCTGGATGTTATGGAGCAGACAAGAACTGATAGCCAAGACAGACAGACAGGGAAAAAACCAAAAATCAGTATGTGTCTTATTTATCATTATTTCTCCCATGGTAACAGAGGGAACACAGATTACTGAGTTTCCCACAATGGTCCCAAGTTAACCACTTGAAAAGAAAAGGCCAAGACTTCCAATTTTGAGACACTGACCTCGTGACACCATTAAATACTTGATATTAAAGTACCATTACAAACAACACTAAAAGAAGGTTCTTGTGGTAGGAGACTTAAAGAATGTTATCCTGACACCTGTGTTGTTGAGCAGATGATTCAGAAACCTGAGTCGACCACAAAAAAACCAAATCAAATCAAAACAAAAGAAACACGAAAATGCCCTTTATCAAATGTGCTGAAAAACTGATCTAACATGAGATAAAAAATCCAAATGTTTATTACACATACAGATTGTTTGTGTAACAATGGAAGGACTGATCTTCAATTTGTATAAACTTCATGCTGAAACAAAGAGGAACTGGGAATATAATAGAAATAAGTACAGAAATAGAAACTGTACAGAATTTCTTCTTGCTTTTATAGCAGTACATCTCAAGGACAATTATGTTAGATAATTTTTCCTTTCATTTAGTCGTTTTTAACTACAGGCAATTGGCTTAGGCAAAAGAGGAAATGAACTGAAACAGATTCCTAGATCTGCTATTTACAGACCCATACAAAATTAAAATATTGGGTATTGGCTTTATCTAAGGAAAAATACCATTTGTGAATGAATATATGCATTCCATCTTCAAATAAACCCAGGGTCTTCATATGGCTTCTCTGTTTTAAAAAGGCCAAAATCAAAACATATTTACTGATGTCCTAATGCATTTAAAACCCAAACTCATAGCTCACTCAAATATTCCTTCTCTGCCTTCATGGGTGAATGGGTAAACAGCTGAGAGGAGAGGCAAACACCCTGCAGTGTGCCCTGGATGCCTTCTCCTCTAGGTCTGGCTGGAATAAACCATTTCTCCTCCTGCCTTGCATGCAAGCAAGGAACCCAGGAAGGGCTACTGGAGGATGCCCAAATCTGTTTCTGATATTCGCTGGGATGTGGCCAGCAACATGTACTGTAACTTCAGATCTTGGAGACTCTCACATAATAAAAACATTATGAAATGTCTTACTGGAGACCTTTGGAGGTTTACTAAAGCAAAGGAAGGATTCCACAAAGCCTTTTCTCTCCCTGCTCTTCCTTTACACTTTTCTTCCTATGCAATGATTTAGAGATGAGTTTTTGTCACATTCACAGCAGCTGCCTGAACTGCAAAAGCTACTTAGAGCCAGCACCTCCATTTTCTCCTTACTCTTAAAGCTTTGTAGAATTTAAAATGCACCTTCGTCTCAGTTAAACCCAGTGAAAAGTGCCACGCATGAGAATGTGTGGAAATGAAAGCTTTCATTTTTTTCTAATTACATGGGTGGTTACCTCTGCTGAGAGCAGCCCCAAAGCCTCCCCGAGGAAGGGACCAGCTCGACGTAGGGACAGTGAAGCTGGCCAGGGTGCAGCCACAGCTCAGCCCCCAGACCCCTGCAACCTCACTGAGCCTGGCTGTGCATTGCCAGGGAGCTCTGCAGGAGACTGACTGGGCAGATCACACCTGGCTCTGGAGATCACTAATGTATTGGTTCCAAACTGGTCTGTTCTGCTGCCTCTTTGTACCTGGAAAAGCTGTATGTACGTGGATATAATGGTGTGCACATTACAGAGCTTGCACTGCTGTGCATGAATCAGCTCTGCTGAAGCAGGACAGCTACTTTTCATGTGGAGAAGCCATTATTACTGCTTTTTTGAAGTAGAAAAAACGGCTGCTAAACATGCATACCAGTTAGATGAGAGAAGTGAAGTATTACCTTCATTGCTAAAGCAGCTTATCAACATTCTGTTCATTGCTGCATACATCTTCTGCCACAGAGCATTTCTCTTGCTATTTACTCTCCTCTGCAGACGCTAAAATGTGGCTGTGCCTGTTCACGTCATTTTTAGGGCTTTCTGCGACTTAAAGACCTGTTTTTCTTTCCCCTTTTGACAGTTAGTACCTTTCCTTTTAGGCAGTAGTTCTAACTTCTAGTGAGCTGAAATGCAGTTGCAAGGGACCTACTGAGAAACCCACTAAAAAGATGTCAGATAATCTTGTCTACCCCGACATCAGAAACTGTGAAAATAAGGCTGTGGAAAAATCCTTATGCTTGGTACTGCACATTAACCCCACACATCTCCTCTGGGGCCTCCCAGCACACACTGCTCTCCACTGCTGGCGCCAACAAGTTAAAAGGTCTGCGTGTGTGCTGTAATCAATTCAGGAGGCAGGTAACACCGGGAGGATGGGAACGGCCTTCTGGCTCAGCGGGAACCAACCTGCACTCAGTTCAGCTACAGAAGTCAAACTGACTGATGGCATAAAGTAAATAATTCCTCGACTCATTCTCAAACACAGAAAAGCTACGCACTTCTATTCAAAAAAAAAAAAAAAGAAAAAAGAAATAAAGAAAAGCACGAGCCTGTAAACCAAATAAAGTAATTCCATTTCTCTTCGCAGGTTCTGCAAATTTGTCTTGCACCACCGTAATGCTGCACTGCTCAGCATGGTGCAAGCAACCCCTCCTTGCCCTTCTGCCAAGAGCTAAGTCTAAGACCAACAATATTTTAACACAGTTCTCAGAATGGAAACACAAAGAGATTAAAAATGATAAGAAAAAAAAAAAAGAAATCCTTACCTTGGGCAGGATCGGGTGGGCCGAACTCCAAAGAATATCTCAGGATGAAGTTGTTATTCCACACGTACAGCTGGTTGTCCCTGGGGTTGTAATCCACGGCGGCGATGTACTGGTACTGGTTGGGGAAGGGGATGTCCACGTGCTCGCCCCTGCTCAGCCTGGTGTTGTAGATGTAGTCGATGGCGTTGCGGCCGGTCTCGCTCTCGTTGTCCTGGTACACCGAGCGCACCACGTACAGGACCCCGCAGATCATGAAGGCGTTGGACGCCGCCCGCTTGTCGTACGTCGTTTCCCAGGTGGCCTCGAAGCGCAGGGTGTAGGGGTTCAGCTGGCTGATCACGATCATCCCGTTGTTCTGCTCCGTGGCGTAAATCACCCACAAGCCGTTTTCATCCACCGCCAAGTCAATGTCAGTCTTTCCTCCCCACCGGTACGGAGACGTGTCGTGGTAATTAGCGTAATTGATTATGGCCTCCCCACTCTTGATTCTAGTCCTCAAGTCAAACTTCACTATGTTCCTCGTTCTTTCCTTGTTGAAAAAGACAGCGCCGTCGTACACCACGAAGCCGGTGCCGTCCACTCGGTTGGGCAGTTTGTACGTCGTCTGCTGGCGGCCGTTCTGGAAGTCCTCCAGAGACGCGAACTCTATCAGAGTGTCGGTGCGGTACGGAGTCCAGGGCATGAAGTAGATTTTATCTGCAGCCTGGAGAGGGTCTTTGCACCAAGCACCTGCTTTTTGTTCAGCTTCATATAAATACGGTGAGTCCACAATTGCTTTCAACGTCCCCGGGCAAACAAAAACTAACAGTCACAGAGAGAAGTAAGACAAGAATTATGTCAAATTAAGACTGTCTCACAATGAAAATTCAAAAAAAAGAAAAAAAGAAAAAAAAAAAAGGTAGGTAAATCATAATGACTGTGTCAGGAAGAAAAAAAAATCCATTTAATTGGCACTAGATTACACCTTATGTTATAATTAATGCAATTATCACCCTTTATCATCCACTTTTCTTAAAGTTACCATGTTCTTGCTGTACCAGTATGGAAAGTGGATGGGAACTGCTTTCACTAGTACAGACCAAGGCTCAATGGCATACACAGACAGCTGAAAATGTAGAGCTACTCTTGCATTTTTGTTTCAGACTTTTAGTGAGTGCGGATTAACGCTCCAGAGCTTTTAACTGGTGTGCAGGTCATTTCAGTCCAAAAACAATCACATCGACTTGTTTAGAACTTTAAGAAGTGGTGAGGCTGAAAAAGGAGGGGCCTCGATTAAAAATAAAGGAACAAACCAAATCATCAGGTATATAGAGAAAGCAATTAGGAGCCGAGAAAACAAAACACAACCAAAGCAATGAATGAAAACAGACCAGGAAACCCTGTAACCATGGCATGCTATGGAGAGGGTTCTGGAAGCCAGGCAAGATGACACTTGATTAACAAGAATTTACCCAAGGGTGAGAGAAAGAGAGGGAAAGAAAGACAAAGAGAAAGGGAGAGAAAAAAGCAAGGGAGTCTTCCCTCCAGCCCAAGTACTTCAGACACTATACCCCGCCACCTACTTTAAGCAGCCAAGTCACTTTATTGCAAACAGTCGACTTCTTTATGAGGTGTACTTATGAGATCCTGCTGATTATCATAATATAAGAGTGTTGTGGGGAGGGGAAGGGAAGAGGTTAACATCCATAAGGCACATAACAAGGAGCTGGGGTTTGGACTGTATACGTTATTTACCTTTTTGCTCCACTTCTATTTTAAGCATCGGAAGAAAAATAAAAAAGTGCAAGGAAAAAAGAAAGAAGATTAACGTAAATCGACTATTAATCTAAAAGATTAAATTAGTTACAGACGCTAAATATAGGGAGAATAAGAACTGCACTATATTGGATAAAGAGAAACAGACAACAGGATAACCTAGCAGGAGAGAGATTCTACGGTTACACAAGTGAACATGGATCGATCATTCTAGTAGATTAAGGAGGCAATACAGATATGTTGGCATGTAGTTTCACTTAGTGAACCTGAATAAATAATGAATGACTTTACTAATGCATGCTATACACACTCTTTTTCTTCTAAAAATATAACGCTATCAAGCTGGGGTTTAAGTGACATATTAATTTATCATATATGTGCAAGTGCACATATACATATCGTATTAAATAATTAGAAATACAAAATTCAGTATATTAATTACATAGGTTTGCATATGTGCTTATTAAACTCCCCCCATCTTTGTCCCAGACATCCCTCTGCTTTTCTTTCTTGTAAAGAAAGCAGCTTGCACACTTTAGCCCTCCTCAGGCTTTATTTTGTTTTTCCTGAATGTTAATCTTGAGAACTTTTGCCACTTCTTAGTCTATAACTGCAAAATCAGACTAGAAGGAATAAGCAAAAACATCTAGAAAAAAGAAGCAAAAGCATAGTAAGCAAGAGGAAAAGAGAAGAAAAAAATTAACAATTTATTAGCTCATTCAGGTATTCTCCAGCATCATCGATTAAGCCCAAAACAGCAAGCTAGTATGCAAGGACAGCCATACTGTGTTTAAACAAACATCCATCCTGCCACCAGACACGGAAGGCATAAACCCAACCCAATTAACAAAGTTATATTACTACAGTAATTTTTCCCCCAGGAAGTTTTAAGGAAGTTACAGAAAGATATATAGCTGAAGCCCAGCTAGTAAATAGCTTTTCAATAATTATTTGCAATAAAACCTATTTCATATACTCTGTGGCCTCTGAAGTGTGCTCCCTTGGTTTCATAAAATGACCTGGGAAATGACAGATGTACCAATCCGTGTAACAGCAGCTGCTGATACCAAGGAAGTGTATCAGAACTATTTGCACAGCTCTTCCACTTTCAGTATTACAGCATTATCCTGAAGAATGCCTTTGCATGCTGCATAGAGAGTCTGGGATTTCGGTTTCATTTAAGGAAATTGCATAACATTATTTTGAGAGAATGGTATTGGTTCATCTGATCTAGTGCTCCTTCAGGAAACAATTCCATAACTTTACGGGGGAGCTGAAGGGGTTTAATATTTTCAAAATGAGCAGTAGTTTTCCTGGTTTTTTGTACAGTTACACATCTTTAGGTAAAATACTTGTTTTTCTGCAATTTGTAATTCTTGCAGTTATCCAGGTAAACAGAAGATGTACTCTGAAGTGAATTCCTGGGCTTCACCATTAGTATTAATGACTTCTGCATGATTCTGTTTGTGAACTTCTATGCATCTGCTTATTCCTCACCAAAGAGCAATATTGATATTGTACCTCCTTAGAATTAGTAATAGGAGAGGGGGAAAAAGTTAGGGATAACTCAAATCATTATTGGTGTGTCTGCCCTGCATGCACTGGGGTACAGCTGTACATTTGTCAGGGACAGATGGGCTTATTGGAATAAACAAATGCTGCAAAGTCCAATCAATACACAGAGAGAGAGAATAAAACACTTTAAAATGTTTTCTATTGAACTCCCGAGTCCAAACAGGCTTCAAATAAAAATGCACAGATGTACAAAATGGCACTTTTGATGTTCTCCCTTATAAAAGGACTGACTTCTGTTAGTCAAAGTGTCAACATATATTGTGCAGCATAAGTGAGAGAAATGTCAAGTATACTACTCTCAATTTCTTTGTAATTTAATCAATAATACTCTTATTTCAGGACAAAGCAATGCCTATCAAATTTGCCTGGCATTTTGGTGGAGATCCAACTGAGTATCTCAAAAGCTGGGGTTTTTTGGTCTACACTTTGAGATGCAAAACAGGAAGCTTTTCATTAAGTACTTTCAAACTTAATTAAGTTTACCAAATTAAAGCAATGCAGTTATGTGTTTCTGAAGGCCAGTAACACATAGAGGAGCTCATAAACTGCATTTTGTACAAGGGTGACAGCAACTCCAGTGTGTAAGAACTCCCACCTTTCACCACAAAACCTTTTATGATTGACATTTGTCATCCCTCATGGACTGAAAGCCATCACAATGAGACACAGTAAATTTTGCAGTCTTGCAGTAACTGAAATAACTTTCAGAAAAAGTAAGAACCACAACAGAACTTTGGTTAGAAGTCCTGTGATCACTGAACTCCTCCCTTCCCAGGTCCACAAAAGCCTATCCTGCCCTCCTAACAAGTCTCTTAAGCTGAGACAGCTGCTATTTGCAAACTTAATGATTTCAGTCATTCTGTACATTTAGATATGGAGCACTGGAACAAGTAAGGAATAAAAATTCAGATTTGACAACTGGAGTTTATCAGGCATCAAAAAAAGAGACTTGAAAAATAACAGGATAAGCTTTTTGGGACAGGGAAGAAAGATGGTCAACAACCAAAATGGCTACTGAAGCACAGTGTGGTTTGAAATCAGATTTCAAAACTGATTTTGGTCTCTGGTAATCTTTTTGATGACTGGTGGCAATGACAGGTGATACCTCTTACAGTTCTGGAATTGGGTAGTGTCATCACTGTACATGCTGCAGTTGACAAACTCCAAAACTCAGAGACTTTGAAAGACAAGAAGCATCCAGAATCCTGAGTTATGACAGACACAGAATTACATAGCTCAAAGGGCAGGCCAATACAGTTGACAGTAAACAAAAATAAACGTTTTAGAGTTAGAGTCACTACAAGTCAGAGTACAGGGCAGGCCGCGCTGTGGCACTGTACTTCTGAAACTGGAAAAGAAAAGGTTCCTGTAGGTAGCAATACTCAATCGGTAGAACATATCCACACTTCTCTTCCTAAAACAGCATAAAAAATCACGTTTGAACATTATTTGCATGACACTTTTTCTCTATGAGCTAGCCTACTGGAACTGGAAAGGTAACTCCTTGTCATCTGTCTGACCTCACGGTTTGGACTCAGATGCACTGCCCTCTTTCTGAGAATTTGGGAACGAAAATAGCGCCAAAGCAGAAGTGGTCTTTGTGGAACAAAACTGTGGTTAGATTGGGGTAAGACATCACTCCTCAAAAGTGGCACGAGAAGAACAGTTACAACAAGCCACCGATACTACACACAGGAGGAATGGTACTAGGGATCACTGTTTGCTGTAGGCTTCCAGTCCTACAAATGGTACAGGGAAAAAAATCAGCAAGCAACCATTTCACAATGACACAGCAGGAATGAAGAAAAAACAGATGATCTGTGTTTGGCCTTTAGCAACAGTGCAGGTTCAGTGTGGTGAAGCAGTACAGAGCAGTATTTCAGTTTCAGAAGACTAAATCTTAAAATTGTGCAGGAAACAGTACGGAGAGTTTTGACATGGTTTTGCCTATGCCAGAACTCATTTCCTTCCTTTTTGGATATATACTGTCACCACAGAGTTTTTGCATCTCAGACTTGGCCTGTTTCCTGTACCAACAGAAAATGTGACTTTGGTTAAGGATTACTGCAGATCAAGAAATACACACTTAATAATAACTCAAGGGAACGATCAGGGCACTGCTCAAATTCCATTGCAAGCACAGCTATTTCTCTGTGGAGTTACGGGACGAGGGAGAAGTCACTGCAAAGAATGACCTTACAAGAAAGCAAAACCAGTTAAAAGTGTCCAATCTGCAGAACTTTTATGAACATGCATACATATCAATGAAAAAAAGCATTAATTACTGCAAGGAAATAAGAAGTATGTCTACAGCTACAGCACTTTGGCATTAGAAAGAATACTGTACAAAACCGCTGAAGTAACCATAATATCACATTTTCCTATCTCAATATGACTTCAGTATTTACTTTGTTTTCAGGGAAAAATCCTGTTCTGGCAGCTGATTTAAGGTACAATTCCTATTTTGTCTTTAAATTAAAACTGAACATTTCTTTCTCACTCTTTTCCCCTCTGCTTTTAAGAACCCAGTTTGAGTAACTCATTAATGAATTATTCACTCTGAATCTGCGTTCATTTACGAGGAAGCACAAGGTCCTCCTACAATGTCCCCCAACTGGGTCATTTGCCTCTTGAGTGTCAGTGCTGGGTTTGCTGTGCACCCAAAGTCACCACAGCAGCAGGTAGCCTTTCAAGTAGATCACGATTAAAACTGAAGTCAATTCCTGCTTTACAAGTCTGTGAGCCAAGCCAATTTGTCAGCAACTGGTAGCGGGCAAAAGTACAAATTTCTATCTGGCCTATTGAATAGCTAATTTGAGTTTGTTTTCTGGAAAAACAGTAGCCTTAAAAGCCAAACACTTAAGAACACAGACAGACACTTGGCCAGCATCACACCATGGCTTCCTTCCACACTTTGTGAAGCTAATTGGAGCCCTAGCCTGCGAGTGCTTTGCATGCATAATGGCTCCGTGGGCCACAAACATATGCTGCTTTTCCATGGAACAGCACTCCAGCTTCAATTGTGAGGGCCAGAGGAAGTGAGCAAGAATAAAAAGATTATACTTACTGTAAGGAACACATTCATACTGAACTTCTAGATATTTGTATGTTCCAGGACAAGGATCAGGAAACACATCTGACCCAGTAACTACTATACACTGTGTTCGGTTGTTGCACCTGTAATGGGAAAAGAAAGCAAGCTAATTAATTTAAAATTACATTTAATTTGCAAGTTCATACTCTAGTACCACATTCAGTGCTAACTCTCTTCACACTTGGGCAATCCAATCCATAAGACAACAAAGTTAATTACTACTAATTAGTCAAAGTCCAAAAAAAGGCTTCAAGACAATATTTTAGTTCATGCTTTATACTTCTAAATTTGGAGATGGGTGTTATCTTAAATGTCCCCACTGTAGACACAGCTGTATCAAGTATATACTGATTTGATACTACTGCTCAATAAAATGAAAACAAAATGTAAAGATTACAGAATTGAAAAATGTGCAATTCAGAATAACGCATAATAACACTGTGATTCAAGGAAATTATTTTGGTTGGAATAGTTAATGTAGACAAAGAACATTAGCATTTTCATTTAAATTATTTTAGGAGCTATTGGTGGGCTCTTGTTAGGCTACAGGAAGAGGTAAAGATTGACCATCTGAGGAAATAAGAAAAACAGTTAAAAAGAAGAACTTCAAGAAAATTAATTAAAATGTATTTTAGAGGAGACTAAGTACTGAAACATATAAATGATTTCCTTACCAAGGAAAGCAAAGGCATTCTGATACAAAAAAGAACTTTATTACAATGCCTCTAACCATGTGGATCTACTGAACATTTTTGAAGGTTTTAATAATAATAACATTTTAGACTACTATTAATTTTTCCAGAATAAAAAATACCAAACAAATATTAGCTTGGAAGTTAAAGGTGAAAAAAACAATCACCTAACCCTGAAGAGATGGTCAAACTGTAATACAAAAAAATAGTCACAAGGAAGTGAAGAAAAAAAGGAGAAGGGCAGGGAGTTTGGTGACTAAAAGAAAAAGAGCTTGGCTGATCTTCTCAGGGGTTAGTTTTGTTTGTCAGCAAACTGAATAACAGAAGTCTGAACTTAAGTAATAGAGCAGCCTTTGACTCCAGCTGTACATCAACTTCTCTGCTGCACTGCTACTTCCCACACTGCCTGAATGCCACAGCCAGGCTCAGATCATCTGTCTTGGATCAATGGCTTTCCACAGCTGCACAGTGCCAACAGGTATTGGAATAGTTCATGCTACCTCACAAAAGGTAGAGCAAGCACATCTGAAGAACTCTAATATAAATCACTCCTTTTTACATAGTGATCAGAGCAGCCCAGAGCTGGGCAGGACATGCTGTGTCTCTGCTGAGTGAACTGGGGAACAACAACTCTTCTGACTCCATCAGCTAATTCTCTTTTTTCCTTTTCCTTCTTTATTTTAAGCTACTTATTTCCAGCAGCATAAGGCTCAATCATAATTGCAGAACTAACTGGAACTAGTCAGGGATTTCTGTACATATGCACAACCATGGACAAAGATAGATGGTGAGGAGTTCACCTGCACGTGTGCTGTGTAGATGGAGAAGGCAATAGGGCCCCAAAATCACAGGTCTCTCTGTAATATCCCTGATACAGGGGTTTTATGCCCCACACCTCAGGTAGACTGACGAGTATAACCTCAGATGTAAGATTTTGTAATAAATTTCTTTAAATTTCTTTGTGTTTCTTTAGTGAGAACCTCACGCCAAGACCAAAATAATTCCCACAAGGAGGCTTCTCATAGTGCATCATCCAGGGTGATGGTTTCCATGAGTGTATGCTGGGAGGAATTGCTTGAGAATAAAACTAATGAAGGTCATACTTCATACATACAACTCTTGTTGCCCTGTGAAAAGTTGTCTTCTTCTGTTTCATTTTCCTTCAGTGAAAGACTCATAATGTTGCCATCAGCAAAAAAAAAATGAGAAGAACTGTGTGTTAACTTTTATCAAAAGGATGCGTAATATTATTCAAAAGAAAATTCAGATTTTTTTCTTTGTACAGTAACTGTCAGTGTCAAACTTCAGGCACTGAGTGGTGTTTACAGGAAGTTGCTGACACTCTAAAAACTTTTGACTATTTCTTTATAGAGGATTTCACCTGCTGTGCACATGGTGACCTTTAGCTCACCTTTGGCCAAAGGAGACCCCAATTCCAAAACAAGGAGCTGTGCCCACTGCTGCAGGACACAGCACTGCTACCACACACACCAGCAATCACTTGAATAGCTAATTGAATAGAGCATTTCTGCTTTAAGTTGCAGTTTTTCATATTCAAATCACTGATTTTTCTGCATTGTTGGTTGCATTTTACAAAACCTGAGTAATTTCCACATAGGGTTCTAATTTTCAAGCACTTCTAAGATTTCAAGTTAAAGACATTTGATTAGGATATTCACATCTTAAAAAGCCGACATTCAGGTCACTGTTACATAGTTTAGTGGTCACATTTCTATCAGAGTGAGACATTCAAGACAAACCAAGAGCAACCACAGCAGCTGTCAATCCCAATTCATGGCTTACAGACAGGACCTGAAGAGAAAGTGGACTTTGTAGAGGTAGTTCTGAGACAAGTAACTCGGGGAATTGATGCTGCTGTGAGTTATTCTCTGGATAAATGAAAGCCCTCTGTCTGCTGCATTGCTCTGCTCTGTAAAACCAGGGACACAAACTTCTCTGTTAGTCACGGGCCTACAGTCCTGCTGCTCTCTGCAAAAGCCATTTTGCCAGCTGACCAAGGTTTCAGCTGAGCTCCTTTGAGACAAGAAGCACTGAATTCTGTGCTATATTGGCCAAAAGAGCCTCCACTCTCCAGAAGCAGCACTGAACAGCAGCTTATCCTACATGGCTACAGATCAGCAAAGCTGCTCATCCCTGCCACGACAGAACTTCACAGCTTTGTGAAACCTTCACACTCAGAAACATTGTGCTCCAAGAACAGGATACTGCCCCTTACAGCCCTCAACAGGGTGACCCATTTTCGTTCCTTTTTGTAATGGGCAAACACCTTCTCTGTCACAGGATTCTCCAAAAAGGAGACTATAGTGGAAATAAAGTTCCTGGCAATTTGCAGAATTGGTCTAGACACCATCAGGAAAAAAAAAATAAACCCAAACCTCAAAAACCTTAACTGGCAAAAAACTTGAAGTCCCTCATTCATTTTAACCAAAGTTATTTTTTCTACATAATATACTGATAGTTTGGTCCATCTATTCAAGCTCTTTTAGAATTGTTCCAATGAAGGCATGATACAAACCAGCTGTGATTTCTGCAAATTTAAGATGTCAAAATCAGAAATACTTTGGTGTTTCAGTTTGTGTCTGGTGTTTCAGTTTGTGATCTAGTGTTTAAGTTTTCTGTAGGTTTAAATAGCATTTAAGTGTTCTGCAATCTACATAACATCATACTTTTCCCCAGCATAGGTAAAAATACACACGTTCTCAGGTTTTTATGAACAATCTTAAAATTCATATGATCTCACACTGAGAAATGTGCTTAAGACATTCACAATATTCACAAAGATTTATGATACAACGACTTTGTCATTTATGAGGAAATAAAGCAGATCTGCAAAGAACTCTATATAAACTCAAGAACAGTTGATTTAGGCAAGGTAATATATGAATTAAATTTGAAACCCTAGTTAGGAAAAGACTAACTGAAGTAGCAAAAGAATTCAAGTTCCTGTGCTAGCAACAACAAAGAGTTTTGCAAGGGGAAATGTACGAATTACCACTATTTTCATGAATGCAAGAAGCAATTGTGGACTCTGACACTCGTTTCTTCTGTACTTTAGTATGAATGAAAAAAGGTTACATCTTCATAATGCAGATGCATCACTTAGAGTAATCTAAAAATCAAATGGAGTGTTTAATTAACAGTTACAGTATAATGTCTGAACTCCTTTCACCTCAGGAAGAAGACTGTGCAAATGAGGAATGGCCCCTTCACATTTTAGATGAATAAAGAAAGAAAAAGGAAAGCAGCTTCAGCAGGGCTGGTTTTAAGTATCTTCTGCTCATGATGTAGCCATGTCCCTGCTGCATCCATCCTCCTTGCTCAGCAGTAAGGAGAGCTGTATTTTCCATGATAATTTGTTTGCATTTCAACTCTAATCTCGACTGGTGCAATTCCCAACAAATTGCTTTTGCCTGGTTTTTTTTTATTATTATCTTATGTTTATTATTGCACTTTTCCACGTGCAGTGTATGGAGATGAGATTCCATGTGCAATCTATTGTGTGAGGTGTTTTAATCAATAATCTCGTTCTGCTGATTAAGCAGGGGCTCCTGTTTTGGCAAGATAACATTAGTTTTTCCTGTCATGCTCCAAAAGCTATTGGGAATCTTCAGCAGATCATTAGATATGCTACAATAAAGCTTTGGTACATTCTCTTTTCTTTCTTAAATTACTTCTTCACTGTCCTATCGTTCCTCGTCACTGCTGGCACTGCATTATTATTACAGCTCCCCTGAAACTTGCACTAGAGCCATGTCTGCAGGCCATAGGATGCCATTTTCAATTGCAGCTTCTGCTTGAAAATATAAATTAAGAAAATTTCATTATCTCCTGCCAAGGGCCATTATTCACCATTGTTCTGAGGAAGATTAAAAACACACAGTCTATGGACTTGAACAAATACTCCAGCATTAGAATGAGAAGCACAGTGTATCGTGACCAGAGCAGAAAGTGAAGCACTGGAATCTGAACAGCAGCCTCTGGAAAGGCACTGGCGTGACATGGATCACACCAACTGAGTGAAGGAAGGGGTCACCTTTATGGGCAAGTCACATCTGTCACAGAAAGAGACATACAGATGCTTTACAAGTGGTTCCTGCAGTCTGCAAAAATAAAGTATGTGTGAAATAATGTCCACATTGCAATTCATCCTTCTAATGCCTTTGTTTCGCATCTTAACTTTGACAAATAGAGTAATTTAAAAGAAAAGGATATGGATTAATGTTTAGCCAGAAAAGAACTATCAAAATAATTTTGGGTATTCCTGCATTCTTCATTTCCATGAATGCGGCGTTTCATTAAGTAGGTTAAAATGCAAACACAGAAAACATCACGTGTACTTCACTATAAAAAACCCAAAATACAGTATAAAA